ACAGATTTTTGGTTTGCAGTTACTGGGAGGTTTATATACAGTAACCTCTATATATCTGTGATTGTTTTAAGTTGTTGATCGCTTAATTTCAAATACATTTTAACAACCCTGCTTTTGTACTCTCATCCTGTCACAATGACTGTTTTTAACATATTTTATATCTAAATGTTTTGTGTAACTCTTAACTTTTCATTGTGGATATAGATGATTCTACCATTTTTTTCTTTTAGCTTTCCTACCAACTTTGTGTGTGGATGATTTCCTACCTTTATTGTATATTTGCCTTAACTGGTGAGCTTTCTCGTTTTGTAATTTTCAAAATTTGTGGCCTTTTCTTTTTCACTTAGAATTCCTTTAACATGTCTTATAAAGCTAGTTTGCTGGTGCTGAACTCTTGCTTTTGGTCTCTGCATAAAATCTGAATGAGAGCCTAGCTGGGTACAGTATTCTTGGTTGCAGGATTTCCCCTCTCATTAGTTTTCATGTATTATTATCACTCTCTTCTGGTCTTCAGTTTCTGCTGAAAGGTCAGCTGAAAGACATATGGGAGTTCCTGCATATGCTATTTGTTTCTTTTTACTTTTCCCTTCTTGTTTTTTTTTGGCTGTGCTGGGTCTTTGCTGTGTCCTATAGGCTTCCCTCTCATGGCAGTGCGTGGGCCCTCTAGTTGGGGCACGCAGGCTTGGTTGCCCTGTGGCATGTGGGACCCTAGTTTCCCAACCTGGGATTGAACCCAGGCTCCTTGCATCGGAAGGCAGTTCTTAACCACTGGACTACCAGGGAAGTGTTCCCCCGCCCCCTTTCTGCTGTTAGTAGTCTCTCTTTACCTTTAATTTTTGCCGTTCTGATCACAGTGTGTCTTGGTTTGTTCCTGTCTGGTTTAATCCTCTATGGGGCTCTCTGTGCTTCCTGGGCTTGAATGACTCTGCTCTCCCAGATTAGAGAAGTTTTCAGCTACTCTCTCTTCAGATGTGTTCTCTGCCCCTTTCCGTCTTCTCCTTCTGGGACAACTATAATATCAGTGTTGGTATGCTTGATGTTGTCCTAAAGGTCTCTTAAACCATCCTTACTTCTTTTTGTTCTGTTTTCTTTTTTCTGTTCAGCATCAGTGATTTCCACTACCCTGTCTTCCAGCTCACTACTCTGTTCCTCTGTATCGTTTAGTCTACTTTTGATTTCCCCTAGTGTATGTTTCATCTCAGTTATTGTATCTTTAATCTCTGGTTGGTCTTTATATCTTCTGTTAAAAACTTCTAACTTTCACTCTATATGTCCATTCTTCTCCCTAGTTCTTTGATCATATTTATGATCACTATCCTGAACTCCTTCTTGGGTAGATTGCCTATCTCCACTTCACTTAGTTGTTCTCCTTAGTTTTTATCTTGATCCTTCCTCTTGAACTTGTTCTTCTGTCACCTCACATTGCTTAAATTGCTGTTTGTATGTTTATGTATCTGGTAGGTTAGTTGTTTCCACACCTTGGAGAAGTGGCCTTCTGTAGGAAACATCCTGTGTCCCAGCAGCCCATTCCCCTCTTGTCACTCAAGCTACATGCTCTTAAGGTTTCTCCCATGAGGGCTGTGTGGGTCCTTCGATTTGGCAGGCTATGAGGACAGTCTGGCAGGCTTGGGTAGCCCCCAGTCCAGTATGTTGCCAGGCCCTGCCTTACGTGGAGGCTGCCTGCTCTTTGTTGGCAGGGCTGTGTCACGAGGCAGCTGACTACAGAACCCCAGGTGGCCCTGGGGCTGGTGCTGGCTCACTGGTGGAGCCATGGGCCAGAAAACTCCAGGACTGTAGCTTGCCTACTGGTGGGTGAAGCCAGATCCTGAAGTTAGTGTCAGACTACTGACAGGCAGAGCTGGGTCCTAGAGTCTGGTTGCAAGGCACCAGGATCCCAGAGCTGATGTCAGATCACTGGTGGAGGTGGGGGCCGGGTGGAGGGTGGATTCCTGACACAGTTGGATGGAGTCCCAAAGCTTTGTTGACCTGCTAGTGGACAGGGCCAAGCTGGTCCCAGGGTGATCTCCTGCGGTCCAACTGGGTCAGGAGGCTGTGGGATTATGGTTTTCTTGCCTGTGGTGTCTGCCTTCTTGTGGGTGAGGCTGGCCTAAAGGTTAGAGCAGGCTTCATGGTGCGCAGGGCTGGGTTCCAGGGGGTTCTGGGACTGGTGCCTCCCACTGGTGGGTGTAACTGGGCGCTCGGCCCTCTAGTGGGTAGGGTAGTGTCCAGAGGCAGCCATGGGCTCATGGGGTCTTTAGACAGCTGTGTGCTGACTGCTGGGGCTGTGTCCCCTCCTAGTTAGTTCCTTGGCCTGTGCCTCAGCAGTAGTGCCCAGAGGCTGTTGTGTGGGGCCAGATCTTGGTGATAATGAGCTAGAGGAAGGAATCCACAATTCGGGCACCCAGCAGCACCAGCATCCACATGGTAGAAGCAGCTCCCAAGAATGGCTGCCACTAATCTCTATGTCTCCAGGGGAGCTACAGTTGTACCCCTTCAATCTCCAGGAGACTCCAAGACCAGCTGGTAGGTTTGCCCAGGCTCCTTTCAAGTTAGTGCTTTTGCCCTGGGTCCCATAGAGTGTGAAATTGTGTGCCCTTTAAGAGTTACGGAGAAGGAAATGGCAACCCAGTCCAGTATTCTTGCCTGGAGAATCCCATGGACAGAGAAGCCCAGTGGGCTACAGTCCATGGGGTCGCAGAGTCGGACACAACTGAGCAACTGTCACTTCACTTTTAAGAGTTGTCTCTATTTCCCCCAATCTTGTGGGACTCCTGAAACCAAGCCCCTCTGGCCTCCAAAGCCAAATGCTCTGCAGACACATCTTCCCAGCGCAGGAGCTCCTGTGAGAACTTCTGCAACGTAATTCTCTAGCTTGTGGGAACCTGCCCCTCCTACCTATGTTATGGTTCCTTCTTTGTATCTTTAGTTGTAGATGTTTCCCAGGAGTTTCCCATCTATTTCAGCGATGGTTGTTCTACCAATAGTTGTGATTTTGGTGTGTTTGCAACAGGTGAGCTCAGCTCTTTCTACTCTGCTATCTTGGCCAATCTGTCAGTCACAAACATTTTGAGATTCAAGTCCCAGTTACTTTTAGGGGTGGGATATACTTGGGTTGCTGTAGATGGGTGTGTTTTTTTATTGAATTGTGTTCTACATGTTGCCAGTGTACTGAAATGCATTTGATTTCTGTATCCTGATCCTACATCCAGTGCCTGTTTATGTTTTTGGATTTGCTAAGTGGAAAATCACAATCTGTGAAAATTGAGTTATTTCTTCCTTTTTGGTCTTTTCACCTTACTTTCTTTTCAGTCTTACTGTGCTGGGGGGTGGGGACAATGATGAAGAGTGATCCAGGATATCCTCATCTCACCCCAATCTTGAATGGAATACTTCAAACATTTCATTTACTCTGAGTTTCCTATAGATATCGTTTGTGAGGTGAGGGTATAGTTTCTTTCTGTTCCTAGTTTGCTAAGGGTGTCTATGGTTTATTGTTGAATTTTACCAAATACTTTTTTGCATTTATTGACATAATCTACTTCAGCTTTCCATCTGTTAGTGATTATTTGTGTTCCTTTACCTCCTAAAAGATGAGAAAATAACGTACAATGTAAAGAGAACCTTGAGATGCTTTTAGTGCTTGCCTTTGTAACACGTACTGGCTGGTACAGAGGAGAAACCCTGAAAGGCTATTATTTGCCCAGCCTGATGCTCCCTCGCTTGCTTTCAGGCCAGGCAGTGGGCTGTTCGCAGTGGGTGGGGGCTGGCAGAAATGCTGGCTGAGGGAGGCCAGAGAAGCCCTGCCCTATCAGGTGCAGAAAGCAGAAAGCACAGGCCCAGGATCTGGGAACATGAGTGATCTAGAGGACACGCGACACAGCTGCCAGACTGGGACGGGTAGGCGTCTCTTCTCCACTGTTAGACATGGCCAGGTTTTCCTGCCGTGTGGGGATCCCCTTCCTAGAGCCCCACAACCAGCCTTGGATTGGGCAGATCCTCTCTCAGAGGGCCACTCAGAAAAATGAAGATAGTAATATTTAACTTCCAAAGAATTCCAGGCTCTAGCAGAACACTGAAAAGGAATGAGTCCTCTCATAGTTTGCCAAGTGGCAGTCTCCGGTATGAAGATATGAGCTTGCCCTAATGACCTAACCATGTACTGAACTACTCTGTCCACCATGTAGAGGATCTTCAGGCCCAGGGAAGCAGGCCCATGAGACAAGAGGCCATGACTGTTGTCTTCACACCTCCACATGGCTGTCCAGGGGTAGAAGAACACAGAAGCGTGACCATAAAGGGGACAGGCCAGGACCGTGAGGTGCTACAGAAAGCAGAGAGGCTGACTCAGTACGGGAAGAACCTTCATAGGGATTCCCCTGGTGGGAGGGGACTGCCCCATCACAGCAAGTGAGCAAAGACCCAATGGCCAGCTGGCAGGGACTAGAAAGAAGATTCATGCCAGGACAGAACTACTGGCCTCCAAAGTCCCTTCAAGCCCTAGAACATGCAGTGACACCAGCTAACAGAAATGCCTGGGTTTACCTGAGGGTCAAGCTGGTCAATGGGATGTTCTGGGTCAGGACTGCTGGGTTCGGCATCATTCCACAGGCTCAGCTGCCCTCTGTACCAATGATTTCACACCTTTGGTCCCCTGGCTTGGCCTGCGCACTCCCCAAGTGGTTGAGAGCCCTTGGGAAGTCTGTGCTCCTATTTTGCTAGCTGGATCAGGCTCTGATTCTGTACTGCGGGAAGGTGCCAAGAGGCCATCAGAGCCCTCCAACATGGAGGGGGGTGGAAGGAGTAGCCAGTCACCCAGCAGTGTGGCACAAGTAGGGACTTTATTGGTGGGGCCCGGGAAGCTGTGGCAGAGCAGAGCAGGCAGCTGTGAGGGCCTGGACCCCTGCCTGGAGACGAGGGGCGAGGGGACCAGCCTCTGCACTCTGCTGCTGGGGGCACATGTCCCTTTTCAGTTCTCAGGGGCAAGTGTACAGGAAGACGGTTCAGCACTTCACAAACTGGTGGGCGACCTCGTAGATTCCCACAGACTCCTGAGCCTTTTCGTCATAGTCAGTCCAGTCCTGTGGGAAAAAAGGGCAGCGTTAGCCTCACGAGGCAGCCTGGGACAGCGTGGAGAGGAGAGGACTGGGACTAAAAGGCACAGCTCAGGCTCTAACTCAGGCTTCAGGAACGTGCCTGACCCAGGACACAGAAAGACTGCTCAGGTCTGAATTCCTGCTCCTCTAGCTTTGTGATTTTTTCAAGTCACTAGCTTTCCTGAGTCTCGGGTCTGTCCTCTGTTTTAAAAAAGGGAACAACAGATTTTATGTTGAACGTTGAAAGAAATGAGTTAACACATATGAGAGCTCGCTAAATCCAGTTACTGTTATTAGGTGCTATGCAGATTGAATGTTTTTGTCCTTCCTTCCTCTGAGGCCTGACCACAAGCCTTCCTCATCTGCAAGGCAGTAACCTGTCCAGTGGTCCACTTGATTCTTGGTATTCACGGTAATGTTCTATAAAGTCCCCACAAGCACTGAATTAGTGAATATTGAACCACTGCTCCCAGGGGAAATACAGGTTAGGTTCCTGGGAGCATCTGATCACAATATTTTCTTCAGCCAATCAATACATAAACTTGTTTCATGTATGTTTTTGTTTAAAAACACCTTATCTAAATAATATACATGTGTGTGTGTATGTGTGTGTATATGTATGTATATAGTTGATTCATTAAGACTGGACTTATGGCCAACAGCACTGTATCTCATGCCTAAACAAAGCTTATCTAAGATGTATTTTCTCCAAAAGGCCCATCCCAGCCTTCCTGCATGTGATCACTAGGTAGTGCTTTAGCATTACACGTTGGGCTATCGTAGAAACCAGAATCACCAACAAAAAGAACAAAAGTGTGGAGTCAGCATCTCGCTGACGAGCCTTGTTCAGCAAAAAGTTAATTCCCACGAGTTGCCCTACAGCTCCCCACAAGGCCCCCAAGTCCTGTACCTTCTCCTGTAGATTAATGTCATTGAAGACTGTCCCCGATTCCACACCCTCAGCAGCAAACCCAGCCTGCAGGTGAGAGGAAGGCAGCAGTTAATCAGGGGGGAAGGCAGCAGTGTGGCAGGTGGGCCTGGCCAGGGAACTGGCCCATTTCACAACCCTCTGGCACAGGACACAGAAGCAGTGTGGGATACTGTTTTGGAATAACTACTGAGATCCCAGGGCCTGGCAGCTGCCCTTGGACTAAGAGTGGTTTCTCCAAATTAGAGCCCTGGCCTAGAAGGCAGGAGGTGTGGGGTAAACCCTTCCTTCACCCCTGGTTTTCTGAAAGACCCCAGGCATGTCACTTCCCTCTGTGGACCTCAGTTTTCTTACTTTTGAAATGGGGATAACAATATAATCTCTTCTGCCTACCTCAAAGGGTTGTGAGGTGAAAATGCTACACAAATCTAGTGCCATGAGCACTGGCTCTGGAGTTGGATAGATGTGGGTTCAAATTACTGCGCGTGTTTACTAACTGCTTCCCCTGAGCAAGTCACAAAATTACTGAAGTTCTCTCCTCATCTGAAAAACTGGATGAATAAACCTAACAAGGTTGCTGTGAGGATTAGGTGACGTAACATTAAAAGTAACAAGTTTGGTGTCCAACGTACATTAGCTGTTTAAGAGATAACAATGATTATTCTTAGGAAGGAGAATTCCTGCTCCATGGTCTCTGCAGGAAGCACAGTTCTGCTGTCACTTCCTGCAGTATACACCTTCCCCAAACATACAGGTTCCCTGGGAAGACAGGTACCTGGGGCTGGAAATCCACTGGTTCAAGTCCTCGACACTCAAACTCTACTATCGTCTTGAACTTCTCGTTGTCTTCAGCCTATAAAGGAAGTGTGTTGAGGAAGCAGGCCTAACCGGGCCTAGGATGATCCCACGGCCCCTGTGAGCCCAGAATCGGCTTCAGAAGCCACCCATCTCTCTCTGGAAGAAGGCCACTTTGGCACAGGCTCACCGTGAGATCTTTCTGAATGTGGACTCGGGCTGGGGCACCTGGATGTGAGCTCACACACAGTTCTGCTTCTCTTCCCTCCTGGGCCTAAGATTGTCAGATGGAGCTGAGGAACCCACTACAGCTTTATCGTGAGAATCTGAACTAGGTGTGAAGTGCCCAGCATAGGACCTGACACTATGGTCAATAAATGGTAGATAAAATTATCAAAGTAAAAACTATGAGAAGAATATTGAGGTATAAGTTTTCCAGATCATCCAAAAGGCCTCAGTACACTTAGCTATGGCCTTTTGGTAACCATCTGCCATGCTGTCAAGGCGGGGGCTGACTTAAGACCTTTGAAGTGGGATATGCATGTGGAGGATGCTCACTGAGTGGAGTGGTATAACCAAAATTTGTGCCTACCTGACCTTTGGGTCCATACGTCCTACACATTCATTGTAGGACAATGTGTAGGGACTATACACATTCATTCCCATTCATTCACTCTGTAGAAACACTTCCTGCATGCCAGCCAAGCACCTGTCCTTGGTGTAGTTTTGTTTCCTGGTCTGTCTCTTTCACTAGATAATGATTTACTTGAGGGCAAGTTCTTATGTGATTTTTCCTTATCTGATTTTTTTAACTTCAGGACAAAGCTGAGAGTTTGGCATAAGGCAGGCATTTTTCAAAAACACCAAATAAGGAATGGATAAAGACAAGTAATTACCCTTCTTTAAATACACAGACCCAAAGCATACATTCCCTCCCTCACTTCTGGATAATACGCTACGCAGTGACATAAATAAATGTCTAATAAAATCAGATAGCAAGGATGGATGCACCATTCAAAGGACTATCCCACCCATGGACGCAGAGAAGACTCACTAGTCCTCTAAGATGTAGACAAGGCAAGTGTTCCCAGTGTTGGAAACTGAGTGGCTAGGTTGGGTCAGAAGTCGCGTAAGCTCCCACAGCCCAGCACTTTTAAGAAAGCACTACAATAGTCTGGTTATGAGTCTTTTTCCTACCAAGTATTCAGTCAGTGTAAGGTGAATAAATGACTGACACATGAATGAACGAACAAGTTAGCACGTGCAGTCAGTCCGTCCCATAGCTCATCACTCTGGTGCAGATATAACTCTAGAACACAGGCCTCCTAGTTCCCAGCTTCGATCTAATCCCACCATGCCTGCCACTGCAGCGGGAAACTTACGTTGTAAGATTTGATGGTGCTGCTCAAAATCTCTGAAATGTAAAAGAGAAGACAAAGTTGATCTGAGCCCACGTCCTGGCCCTATCAGGTACCCAGATGGTGCTCTGTGCAAGAGTCTACTGTAGAGGCTTGGGTACCTCAGGCCTGGGTCCACCCACAGGTAACAGGAGCATGCTTTCAGTCTGGTACCAGAAAGCTGTGGGCCAGCCTGGCAGAGGCAGTATCCATGGCCTACCTACCAATGGAGTTTTCCCTCGAACACAGCTTGCACTTCTGGACCATGGAGGCACTGCCACGGCCTCCCTTCAGTGCCACACTGTCCTGGCAAGCAGGAAACAGAACCTCTAGTCACATATCAGTCAGGTGTAAGGGTCCTCAGGAGACCCAGTCCTACCGCTTATTATCCAGTTAAAGAGATGAAAACCCAGACAGGGTGAGGAACTTGCTAGGACAAGAATCCTGGGGAGGCTTCTTGAGACTGAGAAAAGGACTCCCCCTTGAACTCTTGCCTCACATCCCAGGGCCTATTGTTCCCAGTGTTGATCACACCAATGCCTGCCCTCCCAAACCACATAAAGTGGGGTCCAAAGGCCAGAGAGCTTAGGGCCACAGATCCCTGCCCAGAGACCTGTGTGTGTTTGTGTGCGGGTATAGTGGTGGGGGGAACAGTTACCATCAGCCGAATGTACTGCCACTTCTCTGAAATCTCACCACAGTTGCCACATTTCATCTTGAGGGGAGAGAAAAAGAGTATTAGTAGAGTAGCTGGCTCAGCTGGACAGATGCTGAGGGAACGGCAAAAACGGGGTGAGGTGGGCAGGCTCATAATCTTATCAGCCATTTAAGGACACAACCAGACTAATCTCTGGGCAAAGTGTTTCTCCTGTTGACTGGCCCATCCTCCTCTAAGAAGTGCTCGGTCTGGCTACGGATCAAGACTCATGTGGTACAGAAATGGCTTCAAGTTCCACACAACACCCACTGAGTTAGGAGCTTCCTCTGTGTTCTCACAGAACGGAAGGTTGCTGGTAGAAGTACTTATCACTGTTGCTATTCTATTTCTTTGTCCCCTTCTCTAAATTCTCCTTTTTGAAGCTAGAGACCATCAATTCCTCAAGTAAGACCTGGCACTCGGGCTTCCAAAAATTTGAAAATAAAGGTGGTCAGAAGGTTTCCTGAGAAAGGGATTTTTCCAGGTACTGAAGGATACTGGGATTTAGACAAGAAGGAAAACAGATGAGAAGCTCCGGAATGTGGCAAAGGGAAGGGCCTCAACTGCTCAAATAAGATGAGGACCTCTGGAGACCATGGCACTAGGGTACCAGATTTACAAATACGGGTGGGGAAGTAAGGGTGCAACCCCGCACAAAAATAAACCTGATCAAGAAAAGAGGTGAAGTTATTTTTTTTTGAAGTTATTCTTAATAAATAATCACAAGATCCCTGCAAGTAGTCTTTCCTTTAGTGTCTTTACATACCATGAAACATTTAACGGAGGGAAAAATTACAAAAGGAATTTCAAGACACTGCTAATTAAGAATTAATAAACTTTAAAAAGGAAAACATAAAATTCTACCCAGAAGAAAAGAGAATATTTAATAAGCTGCATCATCAAAAAAGCAAGAGAATTCCAGAAAAATATCTATTTCTGCTTTTTTGACTATGCCAAAGCCTTTGGCTATGTGGATCACAATAAACTGTGGGAAATTCTAAAAGAGATGGGAATACCAGACCACCTGACCCACCTCCTGAGAAACCTGTATGCAGGTCAGGAAGCAACAGTTAGAACTGGACATGGGACAACAGACTCGTTCCAAATAGGAAAAGGAGTATGTCAGGGCTGTATATTGTCACCCTGCTTATTTAACTTATATGCAGAGTACATCATGAGAAACACTGGGCTGGAAGAAGCACAAGCTGGAATCAAGATTGCCAGGAGAAATGCAGATGACACCACCCTTATGGCAGAAAGGGAAGAACTTTATAAAGAGCCTCTTGATGAAAGTAAAAGGAGAGAGTGAAAAAGTTGGCTTAAAGCTCAACATTCAGAAAACTAAGATCATGGCATCTGGTCCCATCACTTCATGGGAAATAGATGGGGAAACAGTGGAAGCAGTGTCAGACTTTATTATTTTGGGCCCCAAAATCACTGCAGGTGGTGATTGCAGCCATGAAATAAAAGATGCTTACTCCTTGGAAGGAAAGTTATGACCAACCTAGACAGCATATTAAAAAGCAGAGACATTACTTTGCCAACAAAGGTCCATCTGGTCAAGGCTATGGTTTTTCCAGTGGTCATGTATGGATGTGAGAGTTGGACTGTGAAGAAAGCTGAGTGCCGAAAAATGGATGCTTTTGAACTGTGGTGTTGGAAAAGGCTCTTGAGAGTCCCTTGGACTGCAAGGAGATCCAAACAGTCCATCCTAAAGGAGATCAGTCCTGGGTGTTCATTGGAAGGACTGATGCTGAAACTCCAATACTTTGGCCACCTCATGCGAAGAGTTGACTCATTGGAAAAGACCCTGATGCTGGGACGGATTGGGGGCAGGAGGAGAAGGGGACGACAGAGGATGAGATGGCTGGATGGCATCACCGACTCGATGGAGATGGGTTTGAGTAAACTCCGGGAGTTGGTGATGGACAGGGAGGCCTGGCGTGCTGCGATTCATGGGGTCACAAAGAGTTGGACACGACTGAGCCGAACTTAACTGAACTGAACAAGCATTTCTCATCTTGCCCGAGAGAAAGCTCCTGTTCACCACTGGGATCAGAATGGGAAAGTTTTACGCGAGCCTGGCCTTGGCGCCCCCACTAGAGGCCGGAAATGCCTGCACCCTAGACGTCTAGAGCCCCGCCCCTCCAGCCTTACCTTCAGGTACCACCGGAAGTCTTCGCCCACTGGCCGGAGGTTGGTGACATTCTCCAGCGTGGCTTTGAGCTGCAGCGCGATTTTCTGAGAAAGAGCGCCAGGGCGACTGCTTCAACAGCGCCTGGGCAGCCCCTGTAGCCCCTGCCCCGCCCCTCTCCTCCCTTCCCCGCACGAGCTTTGACTGCCGGCTCTCAGCACGAGCCGACTCTCCTCATTCCCTCCTGGCGCGAGCTCCTGCCTCCGAGGTTCTCGCCACTTCCCCGCTCTTGCCCTATCGGCGGCCCGCTTCCACTTACCCCCATAGCGGCTCGGCCCACCCAGCGCTTGCTGCGGCCACTGCTTTGCGGCTCGTCGTAAACGGCGGGCGCTGTCTGCGCACTCTCGGTGCGGCTCTGGGCGGGGCCTGGAGGCGGGTGTACGCGGGTCGCTGCTTTCCCAGTACACCTGGTCTTCTAGGCAAAGCCGTCTTGTGGAGGTAGTCTGAGACCGCAAACAGCCGGTACCGTGGGTTCAGACCCGCGGAAGGCTTCCTCCAGCAATCGGTAATTAGATATTTACTGAACGGCAAGTTAGTTTGAGGGACGTCGCACCAAACAAGACAGTCCTGCCCGAAACCTCTACCGGGTCCTCACTATTCTGCCTTCCTTCACCCAACCTCGCGCTGGCTCCCTGCCTGCCCGCCGAGGGATCTTAGATCACGTCAGTTCACGCTGCCCGGGGCCGGCTTCGCAGATTTGGAAGACGGTACCCTTCTTTAAACTGCTCGTTCCTCTTTACGCAGGGGACCTTTCGTAGGGTTGTCTCGTGTGCATGTCCTTCTGGTGGTCCGCAAGACTGGGCACTCCCCTTCAGCTTATTCTTCTCTGGGTTCCCGGTTTGCTCTAGCATACGTTCACTCAACTTGTGCTTTTGTCCAGGACTCCTCTGAGACCATACGGGAGCTGTAAGCATTACAAAGAACAGCCTGTTTGAAGCTTTTATAGCCTCCTGAGGTCTAGATTGTTTAAAATTTGGAGCGACTCTTTAGGATGTCTACTTTGACACAAACTTACCTGATTGCCGCCAGGTACCCTTCAATAGCAGAGGGTGCACTGCAGAGGAACTCCAACGCCTCAGGTCCCAGATCGGCAGCTTAGTTGCTGCCCTGTGATCTTTTTTCCATTCTTTTTTTTCCCTGTGATCTTTGGAGGCAAAGTAGAGTGTGTGTGTTTGGGACCCTGTGATCTTTGTGTGTGTGTGTGTGTGTATATATATTTGGGACCCTGTGATCTTTTTTTCTCCCCGTTATTTATTTTTGGCTGTGCTGGGTCTTCATTGCTAAGAATAAGCTTTTTCTAGTTGCAGCAAACAGGGGCTAGTCTCTAGGACTCATAGACTTAAGTAGTGTTGGCACGTGCGCTTAGTTGCTCTGCAACAGGTGGAAATCTTCCCAGACCGGAGATTTAACTCATGTCCCCTGTGGTGCCAGGTGCTGGACCACCAGGGAAGTCTTGGGACGCTGTGATCTTTGAAGGAGGCAAAGTAGGGGTGTGTGTGATCTTTGAAGAAGTTAAAGTAGGGCATGTGGGTGTGTGTTGGGGAAACACTTGCTGAGGAGTATTTGGGACCTGTCCCAAGTTGGCTGCTCTTGAGGGATGTTGAGCTTAGCTTTATCACATCCCCTCAGTCAAATGAGATTTAGCAACACCATGGCCACTATCCGTTCAGTCAGCAGTTTGTCTGAGGAAGCCATGCAACCTAGCAGCAAGAAAAATTTCCTGCAGATCTACCTGCTGAACAAATCCCCACACTATCTATACCAACTAGGTCGCTTCTTTAATGGCTGTTAGAATTCTGACTTTAAAATGAATCACTGGAAAGGTTTTCTTAGACTAGCCACTTGATCGCTTATAACGTTTGAAACCAAGTGTTCTTCGCCATCGTGAGAGTTTCAGATAGGTCTATACAGGTGATTTACAACTCCGACCTCTGGCTTCCCTGGCTCGGTGGTAAAAATCACCTGCCGATGCAGGAGACGTGGCTTTGAACCCTGGTCTGCGGACCCAGCGTGCTGCTGAGCAACTAAGCCCATGCACCGCAACTACTGAGCCTGTGCTCTAGAGCCCAGAAATCACAACTACTGAGCCTGTGCCCTAGCGTTCATGCTCCACAACAAGAAAAACCACCACAATGAGAAGCCCAAGCAACACAAGAGTACCCCTGCTCTCCACAAGGAGAGAAAAGCCTGAGCAGCAACAAAGACTAGCACAGCCAAAAATAAAAATAAGTAAAAAAAAAAACCCAGAAAACCCTCCAACCTGTTATACCTCAGTAAAGCTAGATGAAAAAAATAAAACCAAAAATCAACCATACCATTTTACTCCCTAAAAAATTAATAATACTTCACTAATACCAGATATCCAGTGTTTAGATTTTCTTACTGATGGCAATTTTACATTTCCTGAATCATGATCCAGACAGGGTTCAAACATTTTATTATGTGATTATGTGTCTCTCAAATCTCCTTTAACATTTCCACTCCATCTCCCATTTGTTTGCAGCTTTTTTTTTCTTTTTTTTTCAGAAATCAGATCACTTACCCTGGAGTTTCCTCTGGTTATTGATTGGATTTCCACTGTTATTTCTTAGCATGTTTCTCTAATCTTTTACTTCCTATAAACTGGTAGTTATATGTACAGAGTTGATTACATTTTTGGCAATACTTAACATAAGCTACTGTTAAAAAGTAATTTGAGACGAGTTCACATGTTCAGGTCTTTATAAAATAAAAAAAATGCATTTTGTTACATATTTATTAAAGACAATCATTTATAGTTTATAAAAAAAATATTGCCCTGATACACACAAAAATGTCTAATAATGGTAATTAAAAGCAGCACTCCCACCCCCCTTGTGTCCACACCAATGTTCCATCTAGATTGGCTTAATCTTGAAGTGTAATCCAATAAGACTGAAGACCAAACACTTCAGGTCCTGGACAAGATAATAAAATACTCGTAAGCCTTCTGGATCCCTGTAATGCAAGAGGAAAAAGCTGAAAAAAACTCAGCAAAAAATACCACTTCATAACCCAGATTATTTATGTACCAGGATATTCCTCATAAGAGGTATTTACAGAATTAAAACTTTGAAAACAACCAAATGTCCAAAAAGAAGAAAAAGCCTAATATACATTAAAACGGAATATTAAGAAGTAATTTAAAATGTTAAGGTTTTTCATGATTAAAGTTAACAGACTTGATCTCAATTCAATTTTTGTGCTTTAAAAGACTTTTTTAAAGCAGGAAAAAGACAGAAATACTTTTAAGATTAATGGTTATCTAACTGATAATTTTATGGGTGATTTTCTATGTTTCTGTATTTCCTATATTTTCTACAGTAAGCATGTATTACTTTCAGAATTGCATAACTGGGTAAGAACAAGGAGACTGTTCATAGGAAGACAACATGTACTAAAAGTGAATTATATCTAATCCCAAATCCTCAAAGCACAAGAGCCAAAAAGGCTGCCAAATTCTAATGATTCTTTGTGGCATACAGATTCATGTCTCAGTAATTTACCCTGACAAAGACAAATTCCTAAATGTATATTCTAAATGATTTCAAGTTTCACTAAAGTCAGGCTTTAAGATGTGCAATCTGAATAACCAACACTGAAGAAGGTATCCAGACTCATTGATTCCATAGGTTATTTCCAGCAATTGTTTTTTTGTGTTTTGGCCAGATTCTTACCCACTTTGGCTGCTCCTGTGGGTGTATCACTGAGAAGTGCTTACTGACAACGATTGACTGAAACACCAAAAGCAAAAGGAGCAAGCCCTTAAAGATAATTTGGAGTCTCTCAAAGCTGTCCAATTCTTAGATTTGTACCAGATTATTATCTTACCATAACAGTCTCAATTTGATTATGGGCTTCATATCAGTGTGCTCGAAAACAGACATATCTGGATATAAGGACCATGTGTACTTACTTGGATTGATTGACATCAATAAGGGAACCAATTTTTGATGTTGTGAAAGAAATGTGTTCGTCTCCAATGACAATTTCAAGCTCCTAGAAACATTGAAAGAAATATCAATCTGAATTGGTTTTTCATCACACAGGAGAAGGGTTCATCATCTTCCAAATCACATGAACTCTAATACAGATGGCCACATTACCAAGAGCAACCTGAGCCCTAGACTGTACTGGGTACTAGAAACAAAGAGATAAATGGTACGACATAAATACTGGTTTAGTCCTTGAGTAGCTTGTACTCTTAGAAGTTGTGTCTGTGAGGCTCCACATTTGGAATAATTTACATTGTTCTCCATATAGGAGTTTTAATTGTTAACAATGTGGAGTAACATGTATAAACCTGTTTTACAAATACTGAGAATCTAACTTTTAGGGGCAACATGGGACAAGGAAAGGAATTCCAGACCTTGAGTTAATCCCAGCTTTCTCATTTACTAGTTGTATGCCCTTGGGCCTGAATTTCTAAAGAATGGAACAAGCACCACACTCTTTAAAAAAAAAAAAAATCTATTGGGCAGGGAATAGGAGAGGGGGGGGTCTATGGGACAGATCAGCAAAACCAAACAGATTTCTGCCCTTGTGGAACTTATAACCTATTGAGTTCTACTTCTTTTCTTTTTAAAAAATATTTAATTAATTTATCTGGCTGTGCTCATCTTCATGCAGGATCTTTAGTTGAGGCATGTGGGATCTAGTTCCCAGAGAGAGACCAAACCTGCGGCCCCCTGAATTGGGAGCATGAAGTGTTAGCCACCGGACCACAGGGGAAGTCCCCTGAGTTCTACTTCTTAACATTCAGACTTGAAATGTTAATATTTTGTTGTATCTGTGTCAGATTTCTTTTTCAAGAAATATTACAGTTTAGACCCACCTCCCACTCTATTCTTCCTGTATGCCCAGAAGTTGGAATGTATTCTTTCCACTCATGGTTTTAGATTAGATAGAATGTCTTTAAAATTTTTACATAAATGATCATACTACATGTATCTTTTTGCTCAACAAAGGTGTTTTTTTTGTTTGTTTGTTTTTATTGAGTTACATGGGGCTTCCCAAGTGGTGCTAGTGGTAAAGAATCCACTTGACAATGCAGGAGGCGTAAGAGATGGGGGTTCAGTCCCTGGGTTGGGAAGATCCCCTGGAGGAGGGCATGCCAACCCACTCCAGTATTCTTGCCTGAAGAATCCCATGGACAGAGGAGCCTGGTGGCTACAGTCCATAGGGTCACAAAGAGTAGGACACGACTGAGTGACCTAGCACATTGAGTTACATTGCAGTTTTTTGTTTTTGGCCACAGGGCATGGCTTGTGGGATCCTGGTAGTGAAAATGCCAAATCCTAACCATTGGTCACCAGGGAATCTCCATATTGAGTTAAAATTGGTTTGTAACATAAGTACAATATTCTATTTCTACTTCTGCATATACTTATACTGTGCTGATCACCAAAAATTTAAGTTTCTGTCACCATACAGTTGATTCCCTTCACAAATTTTGCACACCTAGCCCCTTCCCTCTAAAAACCACTACTCTGTTTTTTGTATCTATGTGGTTCCAGTTGGTTTGTTAATTTATTTTGGTTTTTGTTTGTTTTCAACAAAGTTTTTGTATATAGATCAAGTTCATTATTTTTAGATGCTTTAGAATATTCATCATCATGCATAAGGAAAACCAAACAAGACAATTTCAGACAATGATAAATAATATGAAGACAAAAACTAAATCTTATTTAAGTGATAAGAAAAGGCATTTTAGATTAGATAGGTTCTTAAGACATCACTGAAGAAGTGACATTTAAAGACTTCAATAATAAAGACAGTCTCAGAATGTTCCAGGCAATATGTAGCAGATGCAAAAGTTCTAAACTAAGAAACACCTAGGTGAATCTGAGTAACATAAATAAGACCAATGAGATTTAAACCCAGTGAGAGATGGTGAAAATGGTAGAAGGTAATCTGGGAGTTCAGATTTTATTTTAAATGCAGTGGGAAGCCAGAGTTTAAAATCAGTGGAATATATAAACAAATTTACATTTTAAAAGATTACTGTCACTTCAGGAAAGAAAAAATGGGCTGTACAGGACAAAAGAAGAGACAATGAAATCAACTGCAAGTTGGAAGGCAGCATTAAAGTAGAAAGAAGAATCTTTCCTATTAATCTGATTAAATATGACAGTGGCTTTTATTTTTTAATTACTACAATGTTTTCAGAGTAAATATCTAAGCCAGAAATTTAAACAGATAGACTTAGTTGCTGGCATGACTTTCCATTACATTGTTGACATGACTATGTTTTATTTATCTTGCTATCTTCACAATGTTTTGTCCATAGTGGTGACTTAGTAAGAAACGTGGGTAGCAAATACTCTGGAGAAGCGGGAGGTGGCCCAGAAGAAATTCAGGGCTGGGCTGCAGGTGTTCAGCAGCTCCACCTGCTGTCCCTGGTCCTCCGTGGGGCTTCGTGCTACCTTAGACCAAGGTGCTGGTAACCTGCTCAGTATAGGGCTCCAGAACACACACACATACTGAGTACATTCAGTGTCACATGCAGAGCAGGAAGCTTTATCTTATTGTAAGACTTCTGCACTGTGGGTAGCTGCTAAAACACTCACCTGCCGGCCCACTCGGTCAGGAGGAGGCCACAATGCATCATCCTCTTTGGTAATTTCACTGTCATCAATTATTCTCTTCAGTTCCTCCATCACACTTTTATGTACATAAGCCTGAAAGCAAGTTAAAAAACAGAATTTAAATTATATCTCTAAGCAGCAGTCTGACTCAGATAGTGATGAAAGATTAAAAAAAAAAAAAAAAGACTAATGAAAATTTATTTCTGGCACCTCTGTAAATGTGAAGACACTCCAGCTTGACTTCAGCATGCTAAGAGGATGGCAGGGTCAGAAGTGTCCAATGACTACACCTCAGTCCCACATCTAGTTGTTTCTGTTTCTTGGTCCATCCTGTTCATATGGACCTACTCCTTGCCTACCTGCACACCTGAGCCCCAAAGAAAGATCTGTGAGTAACTCAGGTTATTTTAAATTAAATAATATGCTTCTGAAGAGCAGACACATGTCTTTTACATTTTACATATTACTACACATTTAAAAAAAAGTGAGGATGCTGACATGTATGGGTAAGCATAATACTGATCGCTAATTAAATATTACAGTATGAAAATATACTATTAAGACATTTTCAGATATGACAAAGCAGTTAAAATGAAAGAATGGCTTTAATGAAGTTCAATGGTGTGGTAGAAATAACACCAAACACGGACTTCACAAAGGCAGGCAGAGGTCTAAATTCCTGCTCAGTTTCTTACTAGGAAGGGTAACTCTGAACAAGCCCCATAATTAATATATGGGTCTTCAATGTCTTATCTGTAAAGGATATGTAACATCACCCATCAAAGAGCCTTATGATAGGGGTTCAAATAGCACTACAGATGTAGTACCTAGTGTCATGACTAGAATCTAACATGCATTCAATGATGTTAAGTGCTTTCCCACACTCCCTTTTGCCTACTCAAATGCAAATTAAAAGAGCTCCATTGAGTGCCAGGTACCAGGGAATGCAGTTGATACCCCCTAATGGCAGAAAGTGAAGAGGAACTAAAGAGCCTCTTGATGAAGGTGAAAGAGGAGAGTGAAAGAGCTGGCTTAAAACTCAACATTCAAAAAACTAAGATCATGGCATCTGGTCCCCTCACTTCATGGCAAACAGATGGGGAAAAAATGGAAACAGTGATAGACTTTATTTTCTTGGACTCCAAAATCACCACAGACAGTGACTGCAGCCTTGAAGTTAAAAGACACTTGCTCCCTGGAAGAAAAGCTATGACAAACGTAGTTTAGTTCAGTTCAGTTCAGTCACTCAGTCATGGCCAACTCTTGGCGACCCCATGGACTGCAGCACGCCAGGCCTCCCTGTCCATCACCAACTCCCGGAGTTTACTCAAACCCATGTCCACTGGGTCGGTAATGCCATCCGTTGTCCCCTTCTCCTCACGCCTAAGACAGCATATTAAAAAGCAGAGACATCACTTTGCTGACAAAGGTCTGTATAGACAAAGCCATGTTTTTTTCCAGTAGTTATATATGAATGAGAGAGCTGAACTATAAAGAAGTCTGAGTGCCAAAGAATTGATGCTTTTGAACTGGGTGCTGGAGACTTGAGTTCCCTAGATAGCGAGGAGATCAAACCAGTCAATCATAAAGGAAATCAGTCCTGAATATTCATTGGCAGGACTGATCCTGAAGCTGAAGTTCCAATACTATTGCCACCTGATGCAAAGAGCCAAATCACTGGAAAAGATTCTGATGCTGGGAAAGATTTAGGGCAGGAGAAGTGGGCAACAGAGGATGAGATAGAGGGCATCACCAATTAAATGGACAGGAGTTTGAGCAAACTCTGGGAGATACTAAAGGACAGGGAAGCCTGGTGTATTGCAGTCCATGGGGTTGCAAAATCAGATATGACTTAGCAACTGAACAATGACAACCAAGGAATATATCAAACACTAAGTGGCGGGTATGTTTTCTGTTTTTTCAGATGAAGCAACTGAGACTTATCAAGCTCAACCAAGAAATTTTCCCAAGGTCACATGGTTAGTAAAAGATCCAAGGTTCAAAACCAAGATCTGCAAGACTTCAAATGATTACCAGTTATTGACTCATCACTATTAAAGAAAAAATAAACTAAAAGAAGATTTGAGAAAAACTTTAGAAGCCGTCTACAGGCACATTTATACTTTCCTATTCTTTATCTTTCAATATTATTCCCAGAAAGAATAAAAACAGGACATAAGGCTAAATGGTAGTGAATGAAAGGCCCTCAGAAGATTCATTACCTCTTTTCTGATCATGACATCATTTTTGTAATTGCTGTTGTTGGCATATCTCAATTTCCCTGTGAGTGACAAAAAACAAATTCAATATATAATAAAAACATAAAGTGTCATTAGCCTACCAAAACTATCAGCTATTGCTTAAAATGTATCCTAACTTTCCCTTCAAAGTCTAATAGTTTTAGTATTTACACCTCTGGTGTTTCAACAATACTAGTCTTTTCAGTTTTTCACTTTAGGCTTTGGTGGACAAAAAAAGTCACCTGCCTTATCAGTCAACAAAGGATATTGCAGCGATTAAGCCATCAGCCACTGCAGCCACACCACCCCCAGCCCCCTCCCTATGGGTGCACTCTGAGGGGATTCAGGATGTTGAAAACAGGATACTGGCCCTGGACAGTTAAGGTGCATATCAAAGGAATGATTTCAATGAGCCTAGCAACTTCCCATACAAAGAAAAATGCTAACTTAATTAACTTTAGATGTCTGGTATTTGATTAACAGTAACCTTTAGATGTTCTACCTGTTTTTTGTTTTTGGGGGTTTTTTCCCTCTAAAACATCCTATATATCCTGGCTCATCCCTCACTTCTTCAGAATAGTCCCTCAAAGCTATCTGACAGCCTAACTCCCAGGCTTAAGTTCCCAGTGTTTCCACTGAATAAGACAATTCTCAAATTTAAATTATGTATTTTTTCCCCCAGTGAACACTATTAAATAACCTTCTAGCCAAAAATACAGCTGACAATGATTTACAATTCTTGCAAAAGGCAGCTCAGGTGTGATAAAAGAACACACTCCTTTGTGACTGGCAAATCCTATCTCAGCAGGTTAATGTCCTCAGCTGAAAATAGGAGTGACTGATAACCTACCCGCACACAGGGCCTTCAGAGGCTCAAAAGAATTGTGAAAGTTTCTGAAAACTATAAAATGGTTTTTACACATATTAACATATGACTGAAACACTGATCTATTCCTTTTCTAAACATGATAGAAAAGCTGTTGTTTTATTATTCAGCATTTGTGGTATACAAAGCCCTCTGTGACACTTCATCAAACAGGCTGATTTGGGTATATATGGTGGATATGAAGAAGATAAAAGGAAATAGAGGAGATAATTTTTTCCCCATAGAAGGCACACTAAAGAGTCAAAATAACTGATGCCTTACTGCACTGTGTCTCTGCCTCAAGTCGCTCTCCATTTAGTTCATTCTTCGTAGAGTGGACAGAGTGAAAGAGTAACAGATGGACCCAATTGGGTCACTCTAATATTGACGTTTTAATACTGATAGTGGCTCCCCACTACCTTCTTGATAAAATCCAAAATCCTCAATGTGGCTTCCTGCTAAGCAAAGCCCATTTCCAGCCTCTCTCCTACAACAGGACTCTCACATAGAGCTGGGGTTAATCAAAATACAGGTTACCCTTAAAGGATGTAGGGGTTAGGGGCACCCACCCTCTACACAGTCAAAACTCTGAGTATAACTTAAGAGTCAGCCAGCATCTGTGATTTCTCGGTGTCTACAGTTCCTTATCCTCAATTCAACCAACTGTGGATCAGGTAGTAGCACAGTATTCATTAGTATTAATAAAAAAAAATCTGTGTATAAATGGACACATGCCATTCAAACCTGTGTTGTTCCACGGTCAACTAACTGTTTTGGTTTCTGCCTGAAACATCCCATGCACCTTTTGGGTTTTCAGCCTCTTTGCTGTTAATGCTGTCCAAAATGCGTTCTTGACCCATCTGTCTAACCAGCTCCTAGACAGTACTAAAGACTCATACTCTCCACCCAGGTCATCTTATGCAGGAAGCCTTCTTTGACTCGAAGGCCAGGTTAGGTGCCTTCTTTCCGCTCCCAGAGTCTTTTCTGTTTCTTTCTACAACACCTTATACACTGTCTTATCATTGTTAACAAAACTTTCTCCACAATTTGGGCTTGTCAGTTCATTCATGGGATCCCAAAGAGTCGGACACAACTTAGCTACTCAACTACAGGAAGTTCATCTTTGCGCCTCCATTTAGTGGAAGCTTTCTGTCATCTTTTTTCACTCCTTTTCCTTCACCATATTGGTCCCTCACCAAATCCAATCAATTGGCAAAGTCCTACTGATTCTGCCTCCAACTGTATCCTAAATCCTTCTCTACTTTTACTATCACGCTAGTTCAAACCAACATCCTTTTTCTCTTAACAATTGTAACCATCTCCTCTTAAGTAGTTTTCATTCTTGCCAATTCTGCACCTAATAATTACAATACTTTCTTAAGAATAGATTACACCTCTGCTTAAAACTTTCCAATTGCTTCCTGCTGCACTTAGAAAAAAAAATCCAAACTCACCAAGACTATATGGTGTGGCCCCTGCCTACCTAACTGACATCATCTCCTACTATTCTCCCCAGCGTTCACTACTCTTCAGCCACAATGGCCACCTGAAACATGCCTAGCTCATCTCTGCCTAGAATGTTCTTTTCCCGAGCTGGTTCCTTCTTTGTCAATCAGAGCTCAACTCAAACATCGGCTCTTCAGCGAGTTCTCCAGTGGTTATCCTTCCTGAAAGCGGCCCATCAGCAATTGTTCCATCATTTTATTTTCTGATCACTCAACACTATCTGGGTTATTTTTTGTTTAAGATTTCCCAGCAAAAGAATACAAGCTCCACGAGAGAGGACACCTGTTTATCGTTCACTCCTACACCCCAGATTGTGAAAGTGAGCCTGGGACAGATAGGCGCTCAAGAAAGGTTTGTTGAATAAAGCAATATGGTCAGAATCGTCACTAAACAGAAGCCCCGGCATACGGACAGAATCAGTGGGGCGGACAAGGATCGTTCCTTCCAAGTCTACGCCTCACAGCCATCGGTCCCTTCCTCTAGTTCTTCTTACATTCCAGATCCCCAGCCTCCCCACTCGCCCTACCCCAGGCCTAGTCCTCGCTCCCGGGGAGCCGGGAGGCTTCTCTCACCGTCGGGCCGGAACTCAAATTCCAGGAATTCGTGGCCGAATTTGCCTTTGTGCCCCACGTAGTAACGCAGGTAAAAGTCACTCTCCATGGCTCGCAAAACGGAGACAAGACCGAACTTTCAAGAGCAAACCGCACCGCCACTAAACGCGCCCGACACTGACGTTTGCAGCCGCGCGAGGAAGTGACGTCAAGAAACGTCATCACGCGTCGCGGAGCGACCCCCCCTCCTCTCCTCCCACTTCCGGAGATGGGACCAGGCGACTTCTCCCCTCCCGGCGGAATAAAGCCCCTTTCTCCCAGAGGCTGAGTCGGTTCAGCCCCTCCCCATTGGCCTGCGACTTGAAGAGGTGTCCCCTTGGGGCTTGAGGCGGAAAGCTTGAGGCCCAGGCTCCAGTTTCAATTAGGATACCCAACAGTGTAGTCGGAATAGGCTCTTCACCGTCTCAGAACCTAGGTCGTCCCATCAGTAAAATAGGGTTAAAGGACCCGACCTCTTGTGAAAACACAGCGCGGCGCGGCGCGTCTGTAATGTTGGCTCCGACTGAACTCTACTGTTTAAAAAATCAGTTCAAGTAACTTCTCAGCGACGCTTTCCCTAAATCCACAGTGGAGCTGGCCATTTTTTTTTTTTTTTTTAAGCAACTAACTCTCCTGCACTTATTCTCCATTTTCTCTCTTTCTACCTCACTTTTACCCCTTTCTGCCTCACTGGTCTCTAGATGAGGTGTTGTGAGTAGGAGTTAAGTTTTGAATGTTTGATCTCCCACTCCTCCCACGCAATTGAATCGCCTCGGACGGAGCACCTAAAAAATACTGGTTCCAAACCAATTAAGTCAAAATCTTCCACAGTGGATCTATGTGTTGGTGTTTATTTTTTCTCCGCAGTTTGATTCAGGACTGTGTACTACTGTCCAGGAAGTTCTTGTTTTTTCAGGCCTAAGTGGTTGACTGCGAATGTTTTCTCGGCTGTGGAAAATATTTTCCTCCTTGATTAGGCCAAAGGCAACCGAACTCTTATTAGAAACCTGCCTTAGCTCATCTAAGTTCCAGCCAGATGGAAAACGGAATTGGTTCTAGAGACAGTGCTGAAATGGCATCATTTTGAGGGCCTGGAGAAAAGTCAGACACAACTGAGCACGCGTGACTGTAACACTATTCTGTGTTCAGGCTAGTGGTCCCTGAATCGCATTGCCAATCTTGCTGTTGATACTTTTCTCCCTGAAAAAGTATTGACAACAGAATGAAGAGTGGATGCTGGGGCCGGGGTGGGGGGTGGGGGGGGGGTGGTTGTCACTGGAGATTTGTGTTAAAATAATCCCTCGTGTGACAGTGATTCACTGTGACCAAAGGTGAACTGATTGAACTTTTCGGACCTCAGGTTTCTTATCTTTAAAATGAGCATAATAATATTACACATCTGGCAGAACTGTTGCAAGGATAAGAAACAATGTCTTGGAAATTGAAAAATACTTTTCAAACTCCAAATTGCTATAAGGCATCTTATTTAAAAAAAACACTGAATGTGGGTGGTAACAAAGGACTCGTATAAAAAAGATAAGGGAATCAATAAATGTCAGCCCCTAGGCTGAGTATGTTTACAAGTGCCCTTTCTTTAAATTCTCACAACAGTCTTGAGGTGGTAGTTAGAGTTAAATATTTAGAGACATTGGGTAATTACCACAGGGTTATTTTCCAAGAGTGAAATTATAAAAATTATAATGTAATTGATTAATCTGGGCATCTGGAGACATGGAAAATATCAAAACGTGATGAGAAAATTTCAAGGACACCCAACTCCAATCAAGCTGTAAGGTAATTTCAGGCTTGGGGTTATGAAGCCACATAGTAAAGTATAGCTGAAAGAGCATGGCCTGTGTGTCTAATGTGTCTGAGTATAGCATAATTTGCTGAGCATCTACTGTGTGTCATGTGCTGGGAATACAGTGATGGCTGTCAAGGAGCATACAAGCAATTATAATGTAGGCATCAAATTTATAAATAGGGGAAGCACAGAATAGCATGGAAGCTCATGCAGTGGCTCCTAATCCAGTCTAGGGGACTAAGTTAATCTCCCTAAAGAAAATGTTCCAGACAGAGGACCCAGAACTTTTTGGTTATAATACAGAAAAAAAAAAAGTTGAGACTATAGTAATGAGGTTGGAGAAGAGATACAAGACTAATCACAAAGGACCTTATAACCCATGTTAAGGAGTTTGGGTTAAAACCCCAAGGCTGTTGGATTTAAATGTAAGGAAAACAGATGAAGGGCTTTAAGCAGGAAAGTGGAAAAGGGTGTTGGTGACAAGACCTGTTGCATTCTAGAAAGATCACTCTGTCGGCAATGTTGTAGACTGGATTGTAAAATGGAAAGATTAGAAGAATGAAACTCACAGACAATGGAGATTAAGATGAAGTCAAAAAGGTAGGGGGAAAATCAGGAGTATGGTATCATGGAAACCAAAATAAGAGTACTTTAAGACAGGAGGGCCAACAGTGTTATATGCTGTTTCTAGGTCAAGGAAGAAAAGGATTGAAAGTATTTCCAAAGTTTATAATTAAGGAGATCTGGCTCACCTTGGTAAAAACAACCTCCTTGGCATGGGAGTGAGAGGCAGAGCGCTGGAATACAAGTAGGCAAAATTTGTTGTGGAAGCACAGAGTTCCCTAACCTTACAAGTTAGGTCTGAGTCTGAGAGAACAGAGAAGGCTCCCTTAGCAGAGTGTTTAGGACAAACAGGAGTTAAGCCAGATGAAGAGAGAGAAGGAAAACTGAGGCAGAGGACACCACATGTGCTACATGTGTTTTGGGGGCGCTAAACATAACTGTTGACTTTGGGCAGTGCCTTCATTCTTTTTCTCATCTCTAAGATGGGAATGATAATATTGAGAGTCTTTATCTCACAAGATTGCTCACTCCCCACTCATTAAAGCATCACATAACTTTCAGATTTAATAAAAGGAATTTAATCTCTCTCTAGAAACAGTGCACCGAGTTTACAAATGTCCACATTTGGTTTTTAGTTCACCAAGATGATGCCAGTACAACTAGTGAGATGCAGTACATCACCCCTTGCCTCTGGAAGAGAAACCAGGTTGCAAAGGGGACTGAATACAGAAGCTAAGGGAACTCAGAAGGACAAGACAAAAAGCAGAAATGGTTAGTGTGACCCAACATTCTAACATGCCTGTTACATCAAATATCATTTAGGGGTATTCCGGGAAGACAAGGAAAATTCATTTGGGTACAATGGGATGGAGTCTGCAAACCAGTACTTCACCTCACATCAACAACAGCTTGTATAGAACAAAATGCTATTTAAAACACATGGTTTGTACAGATATTTTCTCTTGTAATTTTTGTAAAAAAGTATCAAAACCTTCATGTCTTTAAATATATATATATACACACACACATATATACAGGTGGCTTTTTAAAATTACTTTTTATAGCACAAAGTATTTGCAAATGCGAGGATTTCTGCTGATTCTCAACTATGCACATGGTGCATAGCCTGAACAAAGCTTCCTGATTTCTTATGTTAACTGAGAATGTGAAGCTGTTAATTCTTCCACCTCAAAGTTGTCCACATCTTGAAAATCCTCAATACCCTAAAAATAGTGGGAAAATTCCAACACTCTTTGTGCATTGCCGGGAAAAGAAATGATTTACTCTGAAGCGCTGAACTGATAACTTGTTTCTGTTTTGTGAAATGATGAGTGTGTAGCAGGATTGAGGGAGAGGAGTAGAGAGGCTCTCATTACTGTGTCCTCTCCCCATTCTTTCCAGCACCTGACTGGATAGTGCTGGGGGTCCCCTCTGCGGACACCACATCTTCCAAAATTTCCAGTTTACTTTTTCACAGTTGAGAAAGTCCCAGAGGCTCTTGACAACATGGAATGCTTCTGTGAAAATCCCACTGCCCTCATATCAGTCTTCATTGACCATGTCAAAAAACTATGACACAAATATATGAAAAGCAGTCACTATTTTCCTTTGGCCACAGGAAAGCTTGAGGGTAAAGACTGTCATGTCTGCAAAGTGCTTGCAACACATCCTGATCAATTTTCCGTGATGTACTTGGTAACTTACACACAATAAATGACCAAGAAAATTTGATTAATTGAATCAGAAATTAAATAGAAGTATTCTATAAAGTGCTTACATTGAACCTATCTTTCCATCCAGCCTCATTTCTTGCTAAGTCTCCCTTGAGCCTTTTGCTCATTACAAATTACATTCAGTTCCTTAAAATCCTCGTGCTCTTTCATGCTTCTGTGTCTCAGCTCAGTGAGTCTTCTGCCTGAAGCAGCCTGGACACCCCGACTTCATTTCTGAGACTTAGTTTAGGTCTGCTTTTCCTACAATGCCTTTGTTGACCCCATTCTTTATCTCCTCAGGGAGAAATGACCTCTCTCTCCTTTGTAACCTAATAGTACTCAAAAAAAAAAAAAAAAAAAACCTACTCTTTTTTTCGTTTGTTCCACATATGTCCTCCTCTAATTGCTACTGTGAGTTCCATCAGAACAGAAAGCATTTGATTGACTTGTACATCTGCAGTACCTGGCACTTAGTTGCTACCTAGCCAATAGTTTCAGTGGATTAATATACATATTGCAATCACATAGACAGCTGGAGGAATGGATCATACTTATTGCTATAAATTTACATCCAATCTCATTCCGAGGTTACAGTTTACCTCAATCTGTTTTATAATCATGCTCTCAAGAATAAATAAATAAAATTTTAGTTTCCTCTGTTTCTGGAAGACCATTTCTGCCAGGGCCTTCAAAATTCCACCAGAAAGATAGGCCCTAAGATAGGTAGCAGGTTTGATACAGTTGTTCGGGCAGCCTAAAGTAGTCTCCTGGAAAAGGAAAGGGAGGAAAAGGGCTTGGACTAGTGTCTGGTAAATTGTCTAACCTTTGGGCCTTATCTCTAAATGCCCTTCCAGCTCTATAGTCCAATGACTCTGTGATCCATTATTGGCTGTAGATATATGATGACACAGGGGCAAAAGGCAACAGAAGTGCAACTACACCTCAAAATGCCTCCAAGAATAGGGAACGATGGACCTGACTCCTCAGACTTCATCTTATTTAATGCCATCCAACACATGAGTATTCCACAGTTTGTTTGTTTGTTTTGTAGGTTGCTCCCATAACAGCCTCTTCCAAACCACAGTGGTAGCATAGTCAGGGAGCATGGGCAGAAAGAAGACCCTGGCAGGCTATAGTCCACGGGGCTGCAAACAGTCAGACACGACTGAGCAACTGAGCACATAGGTTCTGATGTCACAGGAAACATGGATGTCTCCCATAAAGCTGTGTTTCATCATCATTTTGAGATTTCAGGCTGAATCATCCTGACCCCACTCATTGTTGTTTTCTTCAAAGGCCAGGATCTGACTGAAAGTTTAGAAACTATGCATTAGTCACTATTATCATTTCCCCAGAAATTCTGTTTCTTTGGAGGCAGGTTAAGGGAAAGTTGCTTGTTTTGTGTAAATTTCAGTGTCTTTTACTTTCGTCATTTTTCTTCAGTCAAAAATAATTTTACTTTCCATTTCTGAAAGAATAGTAAGTCATTAGGCTCCACAGGAGTTGTCCCTCTGTTCTTAAAATTCTGTTTGGTGTTGGTCATTCTATGTCAGTTGCATGCACCCTCTCGATGAATGTTTCAGGACTATCCACACATGTATATCATGAAGAAACTGCTTGTTTATGCAAAGCTTAGTACCCAGGTTCCAGGACACCGTTAGGAGACCAAGACCATGAGTGATGTGGAGAAAGGTACTAGGAAGAGGGTGATAGAACTCCAGAATCACTGCCTGCAAATTCAGAGGGTATCAGGCTGGTGAGACACCCAAGCTTCATTGAGTTGGAGGCAGCTCGAGAGTGGAGGAGAGGAATTTGCTTAAAAGTGTCAAATTCCAGGTATGTTCAGGTTAGATACATGTCCTCTGCTCCTACTTACACCAAACATTTCCATGTTACACCTTGTCCCTGGTTGTCCAGTGGGTGTGAAGTGGCAGAACATCTGAGTTAATAAAAGATCACACCTTGAATAAGAGTCAACGGGGACTAAATTCCTTCTGGGACTGTAAGATTATCTTTTCAATGGTAGACCCCCAAAAAGAAAAGTGCACTTCTCCCCGCATCCCCCAAGACCCAGGAAAAGCAAAGTAAGTGTCCACAATGAAAAAAAAATCTATACATATACCCAGAGTTTTCCTTTTATTTACAAAGCAGTAAACCAAATTCCTGTGTGAACATATATATCCAGTGAACTATAATATTGTGTATGCCATTTCCTCCCCAAACAGGACTTTAGGTTTGGCCACTTTTTCTGATTTAAGCCAAATAGCAGTTCATCTATGTAGACACATGATGGTAACAAACCTATGTATCACCTTAAACTGTTTTCCCCACCTTAAGGATGTGGCAGAGGGTAAGGGGAAGGGCGAAATAGAGATTAACAAAACCTATTCCTCTGTCCTTATCCTCACCCATAGGATACTCAGAGGCAAGTGCCTGAGCCAGTCCCTAAAGTAAACTTGGGAGGTTCTAAAAACATCTCCACTTAGCTCTTTCTAAGTAAGGATGGCACCCTCAGTATGCTTCAGAGAAAACAATGAAGTCAATCCAGGTGTCCTGAAGGAAAATGAAGTTACTTGAAATGCTGGACTTTAAAACAAGGAGTAGCTGAGGTTCAGGAATGTTCTCACCTGAGCTTGCGAGAACTTTGGGTACGGTGTGAAGTCTGTACACTGGCTTTAGCCACAGAAGAGAAAGCCCAGGTGAGAGCTACAGCAGACCCTGGTGAGCCGAGGGGCCCTTTTCTGACTGGCTGGAGTCCCAGGAGTAGGCAGAGGCAGAAAAGCTCTACCTCTTCCACTGCATGTTTGCACAAATCACGATCTCTCTTTTCTGAGCCAAATTTACAAAGGCTTCTCTGAAAACTACAGATATCCCTCTCTGGTGGATTGTTTTAAAATATACTTATCTTTATGTAACTGAACAACAGCCATAGGTGTGCCTCTTCTCTACAGATTTTTCTCTCTCACTCACGTACACGCAGAAACATAAATGCACACAGAGACCACACAGTGGGCCAATCATACCAAAAATAAATACTCTCACATCTATAAATTACTTACAGAGCTAATCTTGGCTTTGAATTATGTTAATAAATAACCTAAATGGGAGAGGAAGTTGAAGTGTCTTCTTTTTTTTTTCTTTTTACTTATGTTGATGGATAGCCACAAAGCATTATCATTCTATTTACAAAAACAAAAACAAAACATAACTCTGAAACCTAAAAAAGACTCTCCAAACCAAAAGCCCTCTGTAAATATAATTTTTAAATGATGAGTAAGCTACTGTACCATCGGCCCCATTTGGTTATGTACATCGTTAGTCAGTCAGCAGTAGCTAGTCCATGAATTCTTCATGGGTAGTGCAACCAGTTACAAAGTGTATAAAACATTATACATATAAAAACTCTCACATCCTTTGGATGTCTGCAGTTCATCATAACTTTGTGGTTACCTTTCTGCAACATAAATTAAAAAAATTACACACACACGCACACACACACACACATACACACAGACTCAAGTACAGAAACCCTTCCATCCAGGCATACACCATCCAGAGTGTAGTGCATGGGACTGAATTCCATGAGGCACGAAGGGAGTGGTCCCATCCTCAGGGCAGTCCATCATCTTCAAGGCTTAATGCCACTCGCTGGGGGAGACAGAGCAAAGAAATCATCATTAGATCCACTGGAGCTATTTATTGCATAACAATGTACCAGAAACTCTATTACTTTATAGGCAGTAGCTCACTACTCTTCAAACTACCTCTGAAGACAAGTTTGTCATATTTATTTTACAGATGAGAAAACTGAGACACAATGAGCTTAAACAGCATTTGTCCTGGGTCACACAGCAAGTGGGTGAACCCAATTTGAACCCAGATCTGTATGACTCCAGAGCTGTAGTTTTTTTTCATCATTCTGTGCTGTCTCTGTAAAGAAGGGGGCTACAGAGATCGAAACTCTCTCCATCCTCCCTTATACGATTTTAGGTTTGCTGAACTTTAATGGGTTAGCTTTGCAAATGTTTAATCCCAGGCCTCTATCACACCTCTATCACTCTATCTATTTCTATCACACTGATCACAATCAGGAAGGTAATCGGCTGCACCTCTCCAACTAATTGTATAGAATTGGGAGGCAATGGAGGTCAATTACGTTAACCCCTCTTTCCCTCACCCCTACTTTCTAGTCACTAGATACTCGACTTCCTTCTGCCACAAATGGGTGACCCTAGATGGTGAGACCATTAACCCCTGAACAAGTCTATTCCACTGTAGACAGCAGATTTAAATACTTTCCCATATTGACATGAGATCTGTTTCTTTATTTCTTCTGATGTTCCCTGATTCTCTGTCTTGGACTCAGAGAGTTCTACACAGATAACCCTTGAAATTTTCAGTTCGAATTCCCTTCCCTTTCTTTGAGCATCTTTTTCTCCGGCACATCTAGCTCCCCCAATGTGGTCCTGATTTTATCCTGTGCCCCACTCTTCCATTTCCTCAATACCCTCCTTTGGATAGACCCCATTGTTTTAAGATCTTTCTCATAGCTTTATGAATTTGGGCTAGCCACTTTATCTCTCTGAGCCTTGGTTTCATCACCTGTTAAATGGGAATAGTAATAGGACTTATCAAATGAGATCATGTATGTAGAGTGTTTAATATAGTATCTAACACATGTGGGATCCAGAGTATTCTACATCAACCTAACCAACATAAGACAGAACCAGACTAGCATTTTCCATTTCTGGATATTATACAAATCCACTGCCTGTCAAATCATCTTTGGGTCATTTGTGATATTACATGAATGTCATGGCCTTGCTCCACTAAACTTCTAGTCTGTTACCCTCCTCCTCAAGACAGATCTCCAGGCCAAAGGCAGGTCCCAGCAGTGATAGTGGAGCTACCCGAGAAGGGGCCAGGGGAGAGAACAGATTGTTGAGAACACTGATCTCCACAGCTTCGAGGCTAGATACACTGAGATATAGTGGAAAGAGCATAGACTTTTGTGTACATACAGACAAGAGTGTGAATCCTGGTTCTGCCACTTCCTAGTTGTGATCCTAGGTAAGTTATTCAATTTCTCTGAATCTCAGTTTCCTCATCTGCAAAATGGAGCTAATAATTCAAGTATATAAGTTATTGTAAAGACTAAACAAGAAAATTTATGTAAAACATTGAATAGTGTCTGAAACAGTAGATTCTTACTAAATGTCAATTTCCTCGCTCTCCTACTCTATTTCTCTGCCCCGGGGCAGGAGCTTATTCTTCAGGCCTTAGTTTCATCAGGAATAGCTCCTCCTGAGTCACTGTTTCCTTCTCTGGAAACAGTGACACTTCACATGTACAGGGAGCTTTATAACTCACAAAGCATTCTCACATGTGCTATCTCACTTAAATTTAGGCCATAAAGGGAAGGGGGGTTACCATTCCCATTTTACAAATAAATGCCCCATACTCAGTCATTTCTTCCACATGCCATTTCCTTAGTCTGCAACTTGCCCCAGCACCCAGCTCACAATCTGCAGCCTTCCAGAACCAGAAAGCCTTCGAGGGTTGGCTGCACCTGTCTGGTTCATGCCCTCACTCATCAGCCCCTCAGACTCAGAGTGGCGCTGCCCTACCTTGCACTTGACGACAGGCAGCTCGGAAAGAGGGTTCTTCGGGAGTTGGTGCGGCTGTGACCTTGGTTCCCCCGGCAAGACAAAAAGCTCCTTGAGGGCAGGGGCTGGGTCTTCCAGTTCTCTGGTCTCCCCAAGACAGGGCTCTGCCCACAGTGGGTGATCAAAGCTGCTGATTGCCTGACAGGGGGATGGACTGGATGACCTATGAGGTCACACTCAGCCCCGACTCGGCTCTACAACCAAGACATCTGCTTCAGCCACTGTGTGGTCCTTGCTCCCCCAACAAGCCACGCCCTGTTGTGCCTCTCGGCCTCTGCACATGCTTCTTTCTGAGATGTCATTTTCCCCCTTCTCTGCGTGGAAGACTGCTATTAATCTTTCAAGGACACAGTTCATCTGTCACCTCCTCTGTGAGGCATTCCTGCCTGATTTCTCAAACAGCATTAACAGCTCCTCTGTGGGTATTTCCATAGCACTGGTTCAACAAATATTTACTGGGAGCCAGCTATGCTGTGCTAGGTACCAGGGACACATTAATCAGACAATCCTGCCCTCAAGGAGCTCCCAGTCTAGTGGGGAGACCAATGGGTATACAGGCAAGTAGACTACAGTGTGACATGTGTTGTGATGGAGAGAGGCAATGGGAGAAAAAGAAACCAGGGACAGCTTAGAAGAGGAGGCCCCTGGTCTTCCACCATGGCACTTAGCGCACAGCTGTTCAATAGCAAGTGACTCTCTAACTCGCCCACCAGCTCCCTGGAAGCAAGTACATCCTGTCTTAACTTTTGAACACTTGGTATCTAATGTGGTACTTGGCATACCATAACTGGTGTACAGTGCTTACTGTAATGAATGAGTTTGAATAGAAGGACCACAGTTACCTTTCTAGGCCGCAGGTTCTGAAACCTTGCTCAGCACAAAGACAGGCCTCTTTACTCCAGCAAGAGCTTCTAGGTACAAGGTTGTTCTGATACCCTTCTATCCCAACCACCTGCCCCAGCATTTCTGTGTCCCCAGGGCCTAGAACAATGCCTGGCACATGGCTGGTTCTTGATAAATGTCTAAAGGAGGGAGGGAGGGAGAGGGGAAGGGAGGAAAGGAAGGAAGGAAGGAATCCTTCCAGCAAGGAATACTTACTGCTGGATAGACATGGCCAATCTGAGCAGTCCTCCCTATGTGGAGCTCATCCTCCTCCTCTTCTTCGGTAGTTTTCCTGTACACTGGATTGTCGAAATTCATGCTTTTGGTATTCTTCCGCTTCCAGTTTCTCCAGATCAGGTAGCCACTCATGCACAGCAGGGCTATGACCACTGGAGGAGGAGACAGGTCACACTGGGTATATCCAGCAGGCTCCAGGCCGCTGCCCAGACGTCAGTGCGTTTCTCGTCACCACTCCTACTTGACTGCCCCTTGCTCCTCAGGCTCTGTTTCTGCATATTCTTTTTCTGCTGTTGGGAAGCCCTTCTCTTAGCTCTTCCTTCATTAACTGCTCGTCCTTCCAGATCCAGCTCAAATGCTCTCAGCCTCACATGGTACAGTCAGTGTTTCCCTCACGTGTGTTTCTAGACCACAGCGCTGTACTTTCTCTGCATCCTCAGCTAGACCGAGCTCTTTGAGGGCAGCGACTGTGTCTTCTTTCTCTCTCTATGCCCAGTGCCCAGCACTGAGTAGGTGCTCAGTCACATGCTGAGTAAATGAGTGAATTTCTTCACCACATTCTTGCTTCCCTAGATTTCTCTAAGAAAACCATTCTCTCCCAAAATTGGAGGGGGGAGGGTAAGGTGGGGTGGGGTGCTTCTTTCCAAAGCTGGGTCTCTGCAAGAAGAGGAGCATCTCTAGAAGGGGACACAGCAGGGAAACACAGGCTCTGAGTTAAAATAAATGGTATGCTAATGAGTGACGGAGGAAGTTCTCAAATAGAGCTGGGCAAAAATGAGGCAAGCAGATTCATAAGATAGTAAGCGGTCACCCTGAGTGAGCACTCAAGTGAGGCTGGGTGACAGCCATCCAGGGTGCTATAGAGGGATTCCACTTTGGTAAGATTATAATAATCACTAATAATGATACCCATAAAGACAGGAACAGGGCAAGGACGCCTGCTATCACTGCTAGTATTTGTTATCCCAGTAGGACCAGACAAAGAATTGAAAGGCAGAAATGGGAAAGAGAGAACCCAAACTATCATAAACATACATTGCAGGTCTGGAAAATCTTAGAAAAGCAGATGAAAAACTATTAGAAATAATTTTAGTTCCTCAAGAATCAACATAAGAAATTGGGGTTTCCCTGGTGGTTCAGTGGTTAAGATTCTGTGCTTCCACTGCAGGGGCCATGGGTTCATCCCAGGTTGGGGAAGTTCTACATGCCACATACTGTGGCCAAAAAAACAACATAAAAAAATCAATAGCTTTCTTATTAATCAGCAATAATCAATTAGAAAATGGATACAATAAGAACACATAACAGCCCAACAAAAAACTATAAAATACTTGGGATAACCCAATAGGAATGGGCAAGCCCTATGTGATCTATACAATTCTACTGAAGCCCATAAAAGAAGGTTCATATAAATAGGGAGATGTGTCATGTTCCTCAGTGGGAAGGTTCAATGCTGTAAAAATCTAAATTCTCCCCATGTCAATTTATATACCCAACGTGTAAGATTTCATCATATTTTTTATAGAATTAACAAGATTATTCTAAAGTTTACCTAGAAGAGAAACTGAATAAAAATAGCTAAGAAAATGTTGTGAGAATAATAATGCCCTATTAGATATTAAAACATATCACAAATGTGCTTCTAGTAGCTAGGAATGGTATATAGGAATTGGTGGAGGAGAATAAATAGCCTAGAAGCAGAACAAGGTAGATACAGGCATACAGTTCATAATAAAGATGACAATTCAAGTCATAAGGAAAGGATGGACTATTCAGTAATGGTCTTGTGAAAACCAGACAGGCATGAAAAAAAAGTTAAATCTGTACCTCATGCTATACTCTAAATTCTGAATAAATTAATAATTAAACACTAAAAATGATTAAATTATTGATAGTAGAAAAATATATAGGGGATATTTTAATAACTTAGAATGAGGCAGATCTTCCTAAGCAGGACATAAAACCCATGAGACTAATGATAGGATATGATGCTTAAAAATTTTAATTTATGCATGGCAGAAGAGACCATCAACAAACCTTAAAAATCGAGATGTAGTATGGGAGAAATGATTTATAACATACGCTACAAAGGTCTGACATTATTATGTATCAATATTTCTATGCATGAGTAAGAACAAGACAGAATCAATAGAAAAATAAGAAAAGACCATGGATAGGCAATTCATAAAGGATGAAATGTAAATGGCCAATAAGTTTATGAAAATATGCTCTACTTCACAGGGAAATATCAGGGAAAGAATATTCATCTGTCACCCCTCAGATTAGCGGAAATTTAAAATAATGATTATACTAGGGAAGGTTACCTCTGGGAAACAGCACATGCATGTTCTTCTATAGACCAGAGGATTGCAGGAAAGGGGTTGATTTCTTTTTCACTACATAATGCTGAGTATTTTCCACTCACTCCACTCAAAATGAGCCTGGATCTCACCATCACCTTTACTGATGAAACTTTCAAGACCAATTCACCTGCCACCTTCTCCAGAAGTGCCTACTCTCTCTCCTCCACAGAACATCATGCCTGTATCATGGCATCTTATAATATACAGTAACTCCTCTCCTGTATCACCTTTTTTATTATTAAGTCTGATTAAAGACTAAAAGCTCTTAAAAGTCGTTAATCTTTTCCTTCCCTGAATCCTTGGTACCTGGCACAGTCCCTTGCGTGGTGCTGAAGTTTTTAAAACATTCACTCACTAACTCACCACGATGCTGGGGATTCCCAGGAATAAAGGGCAAAGTTCTTATCTTTGAGATACTCATAGGCAAGTAAGAGAGATAAACCTACAAATGGACAATCACAATGCAAAGATCCGACCAAGAGAAAAGACTGGTATGAGAGGCAGGATGTGCAGCATACTAAGTGAACATCAGGGTAAGAGAGAATGAATCATCCCATATGGCTCTCTGTGAGGTTTAAACAAATGTGACATCCTGGCCATGCTCCAAATCCACCGCACTCCCACCCTCCCATACCATATCCCATGGCTTTGTTTATGCTGTCTTCACTTGCTTGGGTTGCTCTTGATCCTTCTTCATTTGGCTGATTTGGCTCAAATATCATTTCCACTAACTCTCCCCTACCCGCTTTCCTTCTCTCCCAGTTTCAAGATAAGTGGCCCCTTAACACATCTACTGAACTGCCTATGGCTTCATTTTAGGACTTATCCTTTCAGAATCAAATTATCTGTGTTATGTGTCTCTCCAACAAGTCTATAAACTTTTGGAGGACAAGAACCATGTCATACTTATTTTTAACCACATTCCCTCCCCTTATCACAGAATCTGGTACATCATAGCTGCTTGATGTGAAAGGGAAAGTCGCTCAGTCATGTCCGACTCTTTGTGACTGCAAGGACTATTCAGTCCTTGGAATTCTCCAGGCCAGAATACTGGAGTGGGCAGCCGTTCCCTTCTCCAGGGGATCTTCCCAATCCAGGAATCAAACTGGGGTCTCCTGCATTGCAGGCGGATTCTTTATCAGCTGAGCTACCAGGGAAGCCCTAGCTGCTTGACAGGCCTGTCTATGTGGCTCAGTGGTAAAGAATCCACCTGCCAATGCAGGAGACACGGGTTCAACTGCTGGGTTGAGAAGACCCCCTAGGGAAGGAAATGGCAAACTACACCAGTATTCTTGCCTGGAAAATCCCATGAACACAGCTGTTTGATAATGTTTGTTGAAAACCAAACAGAAAAAAAGCAAGATAGCATGATCTACTAAAGGAATGGCAAGTAGCTCTACTAATATTTTTCAATGTATTACTTTTGTCCTACTCATTCATTCAACAAATTTGTTATTTCTTCCCACGTGCCAGACACCACTAGGAGCTGGGCAGAGTCGTGAGCAAGATAGACACCAGGCCTGTCCTCATGGAGCCTACCGTTTGGCTTCACATGGCTGGTATGTAGAGTGTCAGTGAGGGGTAATGGGGGAAATATCTGGATAGTTGTTTGGGGCTAGGTCCTGAAGGCCCTTGGGTGCCAAGCTAAGAAACCAGACTACACCAGGACTGGGAGGTAAGCAGAAAGGCTGCCAGGGCAGAAAAGTCAATGAGAGGTCAGTATGCTGAGTGCTCTGTCCTTCTAACGATTTTTCCCAAATCCTGGACAGGGTTTCTCTTTTCTCCCCAGGGATTTGGGGCCACACTCACCCATGGGCACGATGATCCCAACGACAGCGGCTGTGACTGTGGAGCCCATCTTTCCACCTTCATTCCCATCTGCAAAACACAGACATTTGCAGGATGATGCTCTATCACTCTGAGCCCAAGTCCCTCCTTGCTGGCCTCATGCAGTAAAAACTACCCAACTGCTTCTTGTCCCTGTTCCAAAATGACGGTCCTGCTCAATGCTTAATAATTTAGTCTTTCCAGGTCTTATCAGGACAGAGGTCATCTCCATTTCACAGATGAGGAAATTGAGACTTATTGGAGTTTGGATGACTCTCAAAGTGGCAAATCTGGGGCTCAAAGCCAGGACTTGTGACCTAAATCCCTTACCCCTTCCACAGTGTTTGGGTGGCAGGAAGCTCGGGGCTGAATCCTTAGGTTTGCTGATGCTTGGGGCAACTGCCTCTTTCAGCCAACATCTCTTGCTTTATCTCTCCTTGTTTCCACCCGAAATAGACTGTCTGCAGTACTGTTTGCATTATCAGTTTACTTTCAAAAAGTAGTTAAAATGAGACACAATATAGCTTAGTGGAATCCAGAGTACAGGCTTCTTGGACAGACTTCTAGGGTTCAAATCCTGGCTCTATTCACTCTTTCTGTGACCTTGGGCAAGTTGTTGTATGTCATAAATATCATATTTCTTTACCTTTAAAAGGAGGATAATTATATACCTACTTCCTAGGGATATTGTGAAGATTAATGAGATAATTCATGTAAAGTGCTTACTTAGCACAGTGCCTGATACAGCCTTACCAAGTTCAAAGAGGCCAGAGAGTGGGGTAGGAGTTGTGGTGAGGCCTGTATAGGGCAGATAAAAGCAGATTCTAAACTGAAAAGTGCTTGGAAATTGTACTATGTAGTTTTAAAAGTAAGTTGTGCCATCTTTTCCACTCTTACACTCGTCTTCATTATAACATCTGTATAGAATTTTTTAGCTGAAAAAGCAGTTTTCTCTCGGATGCTTGTGATAGCCCTCTGAGGTGTGAGATGAGCCATCACCTACACTTACTCCTGGACAGGAGATGACTGTCCCCTGGCAATGGCCAGATGCCAACCTCTTAGCATGTCTACTTCTCCTTGCTCTGCTGCTGCTGCTGCTAAGTCACTTCAGTCGTGTCCAACTCTGTGCGACCCCATAGACGGCAGCCTACCAGGCTCCTCCGTCCCTGGGATTCTCCAGGCAAGAACACTGGAGTGGGTTGCCATTTCCTTCTCCAGGTTGCTCTAAGGGAACCTAATTATCAAGGGGAGAAAGAGCTGCACTGGCTTACAAAGTTTTCTGCTGAAATGCCGCTATCTTCTCCTTCTGGGCCCTGAGAAAGCACAGGATAGTGATATTAAAGCCTAGAGTGTGATGAAGCCAGTGGGGAGACCCCTTGGTTGGAGTTCTGCCCAGATAAGAGGAACTGGACTTTACACAGGTTCCATCTGCCTCTCTGAACTCCAGGGTAAGCACTCAACTCTGAAAATCCCACTTCTGGACCAAGATGGGCCTGATTAGAAAGATGCTGCCAAGCTGCATAGTTTCTGGGCCATGCACATGTGGGAAAAAATTTAAAAGATAGTTTATCCTCTTAAATGAACTCCCCCTAGCAGGTAACTCAATTTAAAAGGTATTCACTGGTTAATGAGACAGAACATTTCTAGCAGTGACAATTACTGCTCCCAGTGATTTAATAAGTGGTGAACTCATCCCAGGGTTTACAGAGAGGCATGAGCAGACCATAGTTATGGATATGACTACCTGGGGAACCTACAGAGGGTGCTGGGAACTGAGACCAGGGCTTTTGAAGTTTAAGTTTCTGAATCTGAGGGTCGCGCCCTCATACTCGTCAGTAGCGTGTGATGTAGACACACCACGGGAGTCAGCAGAGGCTGTGTGCACATGCATTTCTGTTCACACGGTCTCCTCTGTCTCATCGTAACCTTGCAAAGCAGGTAGGGAAGGGTTATTATTATCCCACTTTGTAGGTGAGAAAACAGGCTCAGAGACAAGAAGTAGCTTCCCTCAAGACGCTCTATGAGGCAGGAGCACCTGTGACTCCAAATTGCAGGCTGGTGCTCTGCCTCCCCCTGCTTCCTCCCTGCTGATAAGCCAGTACCAAGGTCTGGTATGATCTCTTCTTCCCACAGATGCTCCCACCCTGGCTTCCCTAGGACCCTCCCATGTCATGCAAGAAGGCGGAACTCATTTCCTTACAGTGTTGGGAGTGGTTGCTGGTTGCAGGGCTTGGGGTGGACGGGCTGACGCCGGGAGCCCTGGGGACGCTAACTGAGCTTGGGGCCGCGGCGGCCAGGCTCGGTGTCCCTGCGCTGTGGTTCTGGTAGGTGGGGCTGTGGAGGGTGGTCCCAGGGGCTCTGCTGGTGTCGGCTGGTGTCCTCGCTGTGGTGGAGGCTAACGTCGTAGTTGAGGTAGACTGAGGTGCTGAAGGGGAAATAGCATGAAGTCACTTGGACAGAGAACTTTTGCTGTTTTAGTGCCTAAATTATTGCTCTATAAGCATACTCGGTGAAGTATACTTATAAACTCATCCTCATGGCTCAGCTCAAGTGCCCTCTCTAGTCCTCCTGAATGGGCTACAATCTTTTCTTTAGCTGAATGACAAGCATCTTATCTGTTTATACTGCTCCTTGATTTGATAAAGATGAGTTATTAAAACAGTGCTGTCAGATTAGGAGTGGCAAAGATCACTATGAAAGAATGGGAGCAGTGGAAATCATGTAAATCGAGAAGGATTTTTAAAAAAAATACATGTATACTGTTATATTACTAGGTTCAAATTCTCACTCTGCTATAAACAGGTTGAACCTGGAAATCATAAATGATGCAGCAGACCTATGCTCAAACAAAAGGCCTTGTATCTTCATTGAGAAGGGAGAATGAATGTGATTTATATGGTTGAAGTATTCACTGTTAGTCCCAATTGTATCACAAAAGGACTTTTGGTAGTGTGTGAAGTTCTGGGTGAGAAACAGGCAAGATTATAGTCACCTGCATACAAATAGTAACTGAAGCCATGCGGATAAAGGCTTCTTAATTTGAGGTCTTCAAGGGGTTCCAGATCCCCCTGAAGCTGAATTTAAAATGCTGTGTGTATATGTGCATCTTTCTTGGAAGTGAGAAGAGACAGCCTTGGAGGGAGTCTACAGGACACCAGCATTCAGGGTAGGTAAAGAAGAGCCTACGAAGGCAAAAAGCAGCCAGAGAAGATGCAGGAATCCAGGGACACACAGTTTCCCAGAAATCAAGGAAGATTTCAACAGAGGGGTCTGCCATTCCCAGGGACCAGCCCTCCCGGCAGCCCTGCTCACCTCGGTAGCACCTCTTCACGTCAGGGCCCAGCCACATTGTGTCAGGACAGGCACACGTGTACTTGGGGGAGTGGCTGGAGATCTGAGGAGCAGGAAGGCACAGGTACTCACAGCCTCCGTTGGGCTGGGCACTCAGCTCGCAGGCATCTGCAGCTAAGGGCACAGAGAGAGATGGAGAGAGAGCGTCGGGGCACAGATGGGACATGCCAGGTTCTCCCTCCTCCCAAGGACGAGGTCCTGCCCACTCGGCTCAGTCAAAACATTTTCTCTGCTACTTCTATCGAGCACCTTCCACCACTGGACCTGCTGTTTTATCCCCACATTCGTTTAATGCTGACAACAACTCTGAGGGCGGGGTGTTATGCCCAGACTGACAAAAAAATAAATAAATAAAGACTGCTTAAAGAGAACAAATTTGTCAAAGCTATACCTCTTGTAATTTTGGAGATAATTTAAACTGAGGTCTGTTGGACTCCAAAGACCATGTTTTTTGCCTCCCTATGCCACATCTCTTTCTTCTTTAAATTTCTAGATCTAGAATCAGGCACCAACCTTATTTCCTTACCCCCTTTTCCCCACCTTCACCCTCTCCAATACAGCTAGAATGAGGAGACCCTAGTGACAGAGCCGGGAACAACCTAATAGTAGGATTCCTGGCTTTTGTTCCCAACCAGTCAGCTGACTTACTGATGGCCCTAGGATACATTAGCTTATACCACTGCCAAGTATGAACAAATGACAAATGAGAAGCAATGGGCTCCTCATGGCCAACGTTGCTCTGGAATCAGACAGATCTAAGTTTAGGCTTCAGCTCTACGATCTGCTGACATTATTTTACTTCTCCACTACAGTTTCTTCAGCTGTTAAATGAGAACAGTAATTGCCATACTTTGTAAGACTGACAAAAATGGGACGTTTGTATGTTCATTTATTTATACCCAGCCTTAGTGCAGCAAGAGTTTGAGGCAAATGAAATAAAATATGTGCCAGCAAAGCAGTTCACCAATGAGAGGGATTGTCACCACTGCCTCTGGGGGTGTGGAGATGTGACATGAATGTGAACGCAGCCTGACTATTGGATGGAGAGGATGTGGGTAGGGGACCTGGGACTGGGGAAGGCTCACCTCTTGGCTGCTTCAGCTCATGGAAGATGACGATATCATGTGGGTTGTTGAGGTTCTCAGCTAGGACGGAGATTTCCAGGCCATTGAGCCGATTTGCACTGAAAATGGCCTCATTCTCCAGGTCTGTCCAGAACACCTTGTCCTGTGGGGTACAGATACAGAGAATGGGAGGTCTAGAGCCTAAACCCATGACCTCTGTCTGAGGGCTCAGGCTCAAACCACAGTCATAAGAACTGCTCCGGCATTTCCCCTGAGCTCTCCTGTCTATGGATTCACGGTGGGACTCTCAGCTCTAACCTGTGGCATACGCTGTGATTTCCTTCTGTCTCAGAGGGTTACTCAGTGATTCTGTGCTTTGACCTAAAGGCTGCTCATTAACGCTGAGCTAGGCCTGCTTCTTAGAGTTCAGCAGAACCAGGGTTGGGTTGGTTTGGGTCTCTTTAGCTATTACCATTGTTAGGGCCCGGGATCAAGACTGGAGAGGATGTGTGGTTTAGTGAGTATTATCCCTACAGGGCCTCCTCCTGCAGCCTCTGTGTGTACACGCGTGTGCATTCAATGGTTAGTCCACACAAGCCTAGATGTGCACATGTAGGCAAATTCACATTTACAGGTAAAACCGTGCACCCTGTGCAGACCTAGACACAAACCCACATGCTCATCTACATACCCAAAGGCCCACTTGTACCTAATGAGCATCTGTCTAAATACTGATATACACGTTCACATTCACAAGCACTAGCACATACAGGAATGCACATATTTTAACAGATGCATTTATGTACACACATGCACATACACATACATGCCACATATATGCACAAGTACAAACACATGTGTCTGAACACACCTGTCTTTTGAAGCAGAGGCTGGACGTGGGAGGTGGAGCTTTGCCCACAGTTTCAGAGCTGTGCTGGGTGATGTTGCTCCAAGCAAACATTGCCCACACCCACCACGGGCCAATGTCCTCTTGCTTCCCCTCCCCTTGATGGCAGAGTGAGTTATGGGGAAGAGGTATGTGTGCACAAGAACTTGGTTGGTTCTGGCTTCCTTATTCCCCAAGGAGAAAGGTTTTCAGGGTCAGAACACAGGAAGGTCTTGGCTCTTCACTCTCCCATGAGCTTCTTTTTTGTTGTTGTGGGGTTTTTTTTTTTGGCAGGGTGGGGAGTGGTCTTTTTTTCTTGAGGGTTAGGATGATGCCTGGTTCACCTCTATGACCCCAGGGTCCAGCAAAGGTGAGTGAGAGTGTGTTGAATTGAATAGCATTTATCAGGCCATTTCCAATAGTAAATGATACTAAGGAAATGTAAATTCCTCCTCCTCCCTTTACTGGGCACCTTCTGTATATGTGGGTACAGTGCTGGGTGCTGAGGGCACAAGGTCTAGCGACTTACCTATGAGACGTGCTCTGAGGGAGGGGCCGTGGGAGGAAGCACAGGAAAGGCTGCCCGGTGGACAAGGGACCGCAAAGCCTCTGTTTGCAGGCAGCTCACATATTGTGCACAAACGAGCCAACTGGCTTCCCTGGCCCTTTGTTTCCACCCGGACGAGTCTCAGGGAGTCGTCCTGTGTGAACAGCTTTCCTAGGCTCCAGCTTCCTGAAGGAGCCTTGCCTCCCCTCTCGGGGCTCACCTCAAACACAGCTATCCCAAAAGGGTGGCTCAGGAAGTCAGGGGAGGAAATCAGCATCTTCCTGTTGCCTCCGCTGAAGTCGATGCTGGAGAGCTGGTGCAGCTTGGAGTCCACCCAGTACAAGCGCTGGGTCAGCAAATCTTGGGGAGGACAAGGACGAGGGGATCAGGTGCTGAGCCTGCGATGGCAGCCTGGATCTTGTTTGTGCCCCTTCCCTGCCCACATCTCTAGACCAGGCCTCAGGAGCAGGCCAGCCCAGGGAAACCATCAGGAAACATAGGCGCTGGATCTAAGAGGGGATGTGGAGACAAGACCCATGGAGCTCCAGGCAGTGGTCAGCACCAGGAGCTAGAACAGCCCACCCCATCCCACCCCCTCATCCAGGAAGGCAGGGCTCACCCAGGGTGATTCCGTTGGGCCACTCAATACCGTCCGACACCAGTGTCTGCCGGCCCACACCGTTGAGCCCGGACTTCTCAATCTTGGCCTGGAACCCCCAGTCAGACCAATACATGAACCTAGAGGAGAGGAAACCCAACTGAGCTTCTTGACAGGAAACATGACTGGGGTGGTCTGGCTCACAAGGACTCAACGGCCCTCTGGATGTTGGAAGATCATGCTTAGTGGGGACTGAAAGTTCACTGGAACATCAAATCTTAGAACTGACAGGTGAGCTAGTTTCAGGGGCATAACATAATGATTCGGTATTTGTACATATTGCAAACTGACTGCCATAATAAGCTAGTTAATATCCAGAACCACACATAGCTACAATTGTTTTTCTTGTGATGAGAACTTTTCAGATCTACCAATCTCCAGTTTTTAAACTCTATGATGGCTTCTCCTATTGATGTTAAAATCAGATCCCAAATCCTTACCACAGCGGACAGGGCTCTGATGAGCAGGGCCCTGCCTGCCTCTCTGGCTATTTCTCCTAGCAGCATCGCCCACCTCCCTTACACAGCTCACAGCTGCCCCATAGGGCTTCTCTTAGGTCCTTCAGAGCACCAAGGCCTTCGCAGAGCCTTTGCTCCCACTCTTTTGCCATTTACAGTGTCTTTTCGGTAGAGAATCTTTCTCTGTAAGGAAGGAGGTTCTTCCTTTCCCTCAATGTAAGTAGGTTCTCCCTGTTATCTTCTCTTAAAGCACCCTGTTCTTCCCTTCTGTAGCGCTCACACCATTGTTGATTTATGTATGCTTTCGGGTGTGTGGTGTATTTACTTACTGTCTGTTTTCCCCACTAGTCTACACACTCCACTAAGGGAAGGTTCCTCATCTGCGTTATTACTCATTTTATGCCTGGCAGGTGGTTTGTGTGTGATATAGGTCTTCATTTACTATTTGTTGAACAAACTAGTGTTTTCATTCTAGTCTCACAATTGCCCCAGAAGGGTATCATTACTAGTCCCATTTACAGATGAGTAAATTGTGGCTCAGAGGGGCTGACTTCCCTAAGATCACGATGTGAACAAGCAGAGAAACCAGGCTGCAAATTTAAGCTGAAACTCAAGCCTGCATGCTTAACCCTCCCCAGAATGCCTGTGCTGAAGCCTGGTGTCCAGCCAAGCTGGCTCCGGGCTAAGGGGCCGAGTGATTGTTCTGGATCCCTTCCATTTGCTGCTCTGAATCCCATCGCCATTCTGCTCTGTACAGCAAAAGGCCGGTGCACGTGGGAACCACATCAATGGGCTTGACTTCCTAGCTGTCTGGCTTCCAGTTGGATTCAGCAAAATATTGGGGGTAGAGGAGGGGGCCGAGGACAGATTGAGGTCAGGATGTCTATTCCCCTGACTCTCCCACACAAAGCTGACTCCAACTGGCTCATGCTCTAAAGGTTTAACCGACCTCAAATTATCTTCATCTGAGTGTGCACTGGGTTTCCTGGCTGGGACCCTGACAGATCCACAATGGACCAGGGGTGGGCTGGGTGTAACCACGTGGTTTGGGGGACATGGCAGGTACAGCCCCAGGTCTGTGTGACAGCAGACAGGGAACAGGGTTGAGGTGGGGGTTAAATGAGATGACTCAGTGTCTGCAGAATGCCTGGGACTGTGCTGGGTGCACCCGTGTGTGCCGAGTAAACAGCAGCTGTCAGTCACTTCCCAAGGCCACACACATCCTCTCGGGTGGCCAGCCCCAACCCCAGCGGCCCGACTGGAAGAAGAGGGTTATCTTATCGCTGCTTAACAATTAAGGAAACAGCAGTAGGAAGAAGCTGGTGATTCTGGTAAGCAATATGATGCAGCTGCTTAAAAACCATGCCATCTCAGGACATCACCACTGAGGAAGGGAGGGAGTCCTGCTCTGTTCAGAAGCCCTACTCCCAATACAGAGGCATGGCCAGAGCAGGTCAGCCTGGGTGATGAGGGGCCTGAAGACTGTGGGCAACACGGGTGGGGATGGAGGTGGGCAGCCTGGAGCAGAGTAGACCCTGTAATTTTGTTCTTCAAATCTCTCTGGCTGTCTGGAAGGGCAGGGAGGAGACATGCCAGAGGTAACTCCAGAGGCCCATCAGAGAGATTTGGGAACATGAAAAACAAACAAAGAACACTTTCCAACAGGCAGAGCTGCCCCCAGCTGAAACAGGCCGTGTGAGATGTAATGGGCTCCTGTCTCTGGGAGTGTGAGCACCTGCCACGTGTCTACCTGCAGCGCATGGCAGCCGAGGGAAGACGTCCTGCCCCAGGAATGTCTACAGTCTCCAGCGCCCTGAGATGCTCGGTTCTGTGATATGATGAGTGAGTATCCCAGTCCTGGAGTGCCCTGGTGGCCAGTGCACAAGGACCCCTGGTCAGGCGTCCATAGGCTGAGGGGCCCGCAGGGACTTTCTCCCCCATCGCCTGTGTCTGGGTGGCCCAGGGCCTTCCGAAGCCCTCAAGATAGTTCTGGTGACACATACGTGCAGACTGAGCGCCCAGCACAGTCTGGGGGTGGGAACACTCACCCTCGCAGGGGGTCGACGGCAATGGCCCGGGGTTCGCTGAGGTTGCGGCTGAAGAGAGTACATCGGCGTTTGCCGTCGACTGTGGCCACGGAGATGGTCTTGTTGCCGGAGTCGGTCCAGTAAATGTGCTTGTGGACCCAGTCCACCGCCAGGCCCTCGGGAGAGTGCAGCTGCTCGTCAATGAGGACATCCTGCTCCACGGGGTTGCTGGCTTTGTCCATGTAGGCGCTAGGAGCAACCAGGGCTGGCGTGGGCAGGCGTGCCACCCCCAGGGCCCGTCTGCAGCTGCCCTTCCCCTCTCTTCCCTCTGGGCCATGGCAGTGCACCAGAGGGGAGCTTGGCTCACTTCCATTCAATGGGTTCCCTGGGCCACCAGGGTAAGGACACAAACTCGAGTCAGCCACAGTCTCTGGCCTGAAGGAGCTCAGTTTAGGAGGGACAGAAATTTATAGCCCGATAACTACACCAATACTCTGTGATCACGGAAGGTGTCAGAGGCTGTAACAGCAGAGAAGTGGACACTACATCATCCTGGGGGGCTGGAGGAGGGCTTGTGGTTGAGCCCCGAAGGACCAGTTCACCAGGAACACAAAGAACAGACAGGTCAGGTTAGAGTCAGCATGTGCAGATGCCAAAGCACGTGTTCTGAAACACTGCGAGAGCCAGCGGGCAGGGGTGGAGGGGGTGGGTGAGGGTGTGGGACAGGGAGTAGGTAGGAGGGCCACCCTCCCGATGGCCCTTGCATATGCGCTAAGGGTAAAACTGAACAGGTCAGAGGGTATGGCCAGAGAGGGGAGTGAGATCACTGTGGCACCTGCAGAATACACAAGGGTTTGGAGGGGGAGGAGATGAAGGCAGGGAGACCAGTTAAGAGGCTGTGAGCATGTCCAAGTGAGAGACAAAGAGGGTCTGCAGAAGGGCTGAGGCAGCGAGAACAGAGAGAAGGGGCCAGAATACAGCAGACACTCAGAAGCAACACCAGCAGGGCTTTATGTCTCCCAAATGCTGCTTTCCCCCAAGGCTTTCTTCTCCCCACATCCTCTCCTTGCTCTATTAGTTGCACAGTGCCCACGGCCATCCATGACTCAAATTCTCTGATCTTGACAACGGTCTAAGTTTCAGACTATAAGGCCAACTGGCCCCCTTTGAATGTCTCATGGACACCTTGAACTCAACACATCCCAAACTATTCAGCCCATTCCCCTCTTCTCAGCCACACTCAGCCAGCCTACCCCGCCACCATCTCTCCCCTCCTGGCTCCCATCTCAGAGAAGGGTACCCAAGTACCAAGCGAGAAACCCAAACTCTCAAAAATGAACTCTCAAAACCTAAGTGGGAATTCATTTCAACTCTTCCTCCTACAGCCCCATACCCAGTCTGTCATCAAATCTGCCTCTTTCAGTCACAACTGTTGGACACACACACTACTCGAGCTGGTTCTGGGTGTGTGACTGTGAGTGTGTCTATGTGTGCTGGGGTGTGATAGGCACTAGTTGCCAGTGAGTACCCACTTGGCATTGCTTCCATCCATCCCTCCATCCCACCATTTGTTCAACAGTCCAGCCAGGGCCTGGTCATCGGCAGTCCTGAGTCCAAGTGGATTGCAGGATGAAGAAAGGACATGACTACCAAAGGGGACTTGGGCACGCAGAAGCTCCTAGGAGAAAACTTCCTTGTGTGTGAGGAGCCTTCCTAGGAACCAGAGCCAACAGACTGTGATGTGAAGGGCTGGTCTGGGCATAGTGCCGCCCCCAGACCAGGTCGGAGGTGTCTTCTATACTTTTCCTTCATGATCATCACAAGGGATATCACTGTGTTCTGAGTGGGATCCTCCAGGCAGGTCTCAGTCATCTTTGAGTCCTGAGCATCCAACACACATGTACATGAGAGGCTCTGAAAGTCCCTGTCAAAGCCAGAGGCACCTTCCTGTGTCTTGCACTGCCCGACTCGGCCGCCAGAGGTCAGTCAAGGCCCCCGTGTGAGGGCTCAAAGCTGCTCTCCCAACAAAGCCCTCGGATGAAGGCCCAGCAGGTGAAGCCCCATGTGCACTGTGCTCCTGCATCCCCTCCTAAGCCCCAGCTCTGTCCTGGGGGAGCCCGGGGGCAGAGGGGGTGCAGAGGCCGCCCGTCCTCTCCTCCTCTGCCAGCCCCCCGCCACGCCTCGGCTCGGGAGCCAGGCCTCTGCTCACCTGTAGATCTTGCGATAGGAGAGGTCACACCAGTAGATGCGATTGGCGGCAACTTCAACGTCCAGCGCCACGACGTTCTTGAGCATGGGGATGAGCCGTGAGTAGTCCCGCTTTACCAGGTCTATCCTCCGCACTTCGTGCCGGTTGGTGAAGATCAGGGATGGGCTTCTGCCAGCTGCCATACATGGGGGTTGAGAGGGAAAAGGGTCAGCACAACAGGTGGGGGGTCTGGAGACCGAGGCTCTGCCATTGATGTGCTGAGGGGCGCCTCCTTTCCTACCTCACAAGTTAGAGGAGTGAGATAACGGGGACAAAAAGCATAAGATGCAAAGCACCACACATAACAAGAGGGATTTTTTTTATTAGACACAAACTCCCCCAAATCTGAGATGACTCCATTTCCTCTGGCCTGTATAGGAGGCTTTCTGCAGTGATTCCAGCCTCATCACTAACCCCCTAACACCTTGGTCCCAGCCACCAGGCTATCTGTCATCATCTCCCCATGGCAGAGCTTTGCTGCCTCAGGGCCTTTGCTCAAGCTGTCCTTCTACCTACAGTGCATTTCTCCCCAGCAGCTGCCTCCTCCTCTGCTTGGGCCCCACTGCAACATTCAAGAACAGTAAATGATTTACAAAGATGACTGAGGCTGCAGGATGGAGCACAGACCTTAGGGCCGGCAGTGAGGCTCGAAGGAGGAGATTCAAGGAGGTCATTGTGAGTCTTCAGTTTACAGAGAGTGTGTTTGGGGACATGGCAAGAGATGAATCTGCAGATGCCAGCAGGAACCCAATCACAAAGGATCCTGTGATCTGAGTTCACACTTTATTCTGAGCCAGTAGCTAGGGCAGGATGTGTATAATATGCACAGATTATACACATGCAAAAGGACAACACACAACTGCTGGTGTATATTCAAACTTATTTTCAGACTTAGGAGTAGATTTTAGGAAGAACATCAAAGGTTTAACATTGCTGGCTACCCCATGGGGAAGGTCACTCTCCCCCAGGCCTATGAAGGTCTAGAACTTGGCACAGGCTGCCGCTCCTCCAGCCTGTTTTCAGATGTAAATAGGCAACTCTCAGGTACCTGCACTGTCTGAGCAGCAACACCTGTCTCTGGAGCTGCCTGGGCCTTCTCCTGGTCTTGTTTTCCAGCTGACACGTCTGCAGGGCCCCTGGTCCCTGTCACTGCACATCTCTGCCAGGGTAATGTGCTCCCTGGGGGTGGGGAGGACCAGGACAGAGCCATGTAGGGCCTGGGGCTGACCTGTGTGACCTGTGTGTAGTGATGGACATCATTTCAAAGCAGAGTGGGGCTGACAGGGAGGATATGGGACACAGAGCATGGAAAAATACAGCTCCATGTGCAAGGAGAAAGGAGAAAAGCTGCGTTCAAGGCCAACTCTGCCATTGACAATCTGTGATTTTCCTCGCCTGGAAAGTGTAAGTGAAAGTCACTAAGTCGTGTCCAACTCTTTGGGACCCCATGGACTATACAGCCCATGGAATTCTCCAGGCCAGAATACTGGAGTGGGTCACCTTTCCCTTCGCCAGGGGATCTTCCCAACCCAGGGATCGAACCCAGGTCTCCCACATTGCAGGCAGATTCTTTACCAGCTGAGCCACAGGGGGTTTCCTCGCCTGGAAACGAGCAAAGATACCTCATCTTCCTGAGGGCAAGAGCTGGGTTACAGGATATCTTGAACTGATTTTTACAGAGAGTTGTGATTGTGACAGGTATCCTGTTTGTTTACGACTGGAATTTTCGTGTAACTGCACTTTAGATATTGATATGTGGGGGTTGTGTATACACGGGCCATTGTGTGTTGTCTCCACTGCACGTATATAATATGTTACATGTCACACCTGTCCCAGGTGGGGGCAGGAACTGGTTGCATGCTACATGTGATGTGCTAACGTATGTGTTGTACATTGTACAGTTTGGGTGCTATATGTGTCAGGTTTGCCAGCTATATGTTAATTATTGTAGCTGCTGCATTGTTATAGCCTATAGAGTAGGTATTTTTGTGCATCTGAATTCCAGGTTCATATATCCAACAATCTGCACAATACTTCCGCTGAGATGTCTAAACAGTTTTGTTAAATTTAACATGTCCAAATTAATCCAATATTCTCCCAAACCTGCTTTTACCATCTTTCCCAATGCCTTAAACAGCAATCCCATATTTCGTTTGGTTAAAAACCTCATGGTCACCTTTGATTTCCTTTTTTCAGTTTCACATCCTACATTCAATTCATAAGAAAATCCTGTTGCTTCAAAATAAATCCTGACCTTGAAAATATATTCACATTGTCTACTTTTCATTATCTCCATGCAACACCCTGGTTTACTCCACCATCACCTCTCTCCAAGCTGACTGAAATGACCTCTGCGCAGTTCCCCAGCTTCCTCCCCTGCCCCCGGCAGTCTATTCTCAACACGGCCGCTAGAGGGAGCTGGTTAAAATGGAAGGCACCCTGTCCCATTACTCTGAACCCACCAAAGCTTCCTTTCCCCTGACCGATGGCGAGAGACAGCCCTTATAACAGTCAAGAAGGCCTTTATGATCGGCCCCAAGTCACTCTGTGGGCTTCATCTCCTCCTATTCTCTTTGCTCCAGCTGCACTGGCTTCCTCTTCGTTATCTCAACACAGCAGGCATGCTGCTATCTTTGGCTCACTCCCTCACCTCCTTCAGGTCTTTACGCAAATGTCACCTTCTCAGCGAGGGCTTTCCAGACCACTCTACTTAAAACCGTAAGCCACGGCCCCCTTGGACTTCTCTACTTTATATTTCTCCTGAACCCTAATCACCATCTGCCATGCGCTGAATTTTATTTAGTTTTTTGATTTCCCATCTCACCCACTAGAGTGTAAATCCTATAAGGACCGAGATTTGAATCTGTTTTGCTTACTGTTGAGTCTCTAGTGCCTGCAACAACGTTAGGTGTTCAGTGTAAACAAATGAATAAAACAAATGAATTCCATCGGCTGACCTGATGATCAGTCAGCTCTGCACACAGCCTGCCCTTTGTGTGGGTTGCCTATGCCATGTGTGGCCAGCATGGTCCAGCTTGTATCTGTCATGTGAGCGCAGTCTCTGGGTGGCTCTGTGCAGGGTCAGTGTCGTGCGCAGTTGCATTGTGTGTGTGCTATATAGTGCAACTTCCTATCTGGGTGTGTGAGAGGGTATGTATGCACACCTACGCCTCACATGTGAAGCACGCTGCTTCCTGGACTCCCTCAGAGCTGCTCCCCTGCCCCCCACCTTGTAGCGTCCATACTGACCGACGGCCTTGCAGTTCCTGGTCAGCGTGTCCATCTCGTAGCCAGGGTGGCACTCGCATTTAAAGTAGCCCTTGTAATTGACACAGATCTGGCTGCAGGCATCTGGGTCCTCACACTCGTCGATGTCTGTGGGGAGGAGCAGAGGTCAGAACCAGCAGGAGGAGCTGCCTCTGCTTGAGGGGCTGGGGTGGGGGTGCTCACCGCCACAGGTCTTCTGGTCCAGGAGCTGGTAGCCTGCAGGGCATGTGCACTCAAAGCCAATCTTAAGGTCAGTGCAGATGTGGGAACAGCCGCCATTGTTATGCAGACACTCGTTCAGGCCTGGGGAGGGACACGGGCTCCTGAGGGTCCAGGAACTGAGACTGGGGTCGGGGCGGGACATGGATGGGCCTGGAGCTGAAGCAGAGACTCAGGGCAGCCTCAGCCTCCCCCAGAGCCTCTTCGGGCCTCAGCCTCGTTAGCCAGGTGACTGGGCAAGAGGAGGCTCAGAGAGGGTCCTTGCTCAAGGCCAGACACACAGACAGGACAGGGTGGAACCAGAACTCGGGTCCTTTGCCTCCCAGGCCAGGACTCTGTCCATCACCAGCCTGGAGGCAACCAGGCTGCCTAAGGTCTTTCCTTTCACAAACACATTTCTTACGTCTCCTTCCTCATGACCTCAGTATTGAAGGGACCTGCATGTACCGTGTCCAACCCTCAAGTGCCTTAAGAATCCCCTGTGAAATGCCCTTGCTTAACCACCTCCAGTCTCGGGAAGCCCACTTCCGCCCGAGGCAGCTGGTGCCTTGCAGGGTTGGCCAGAGTCCGATGGCTCCCTCAGAATTTCCTTAGAGCGCTGATTCCTGGTCCCCTGCCTTTCAGGCGCCTTGCTCTGGATGCACTCTCTGGACAGGGCCCAGAGCTAGTCTGCCACCCAGAGGGGTCTGAACTACTACAAGGGCTGCCCTCTACTGAGCTGGTGGGTATTTGAGACGGCCAGGCCTCTATCTCCATGGCGCTGTTGCTCCATGAGGCACAGTTCTCTCGCACTGTAAACCACGGTGGACTTTTTCCCCGTCCTCTCCTCTCAACACCTGTGCCTACTCCTACACTTGGTCACAAGCCTGGTCCCAAGATTACCGATGCTGCAAGGGATGAAGGGATCTGGTTCCCCCATCCTCCACTCCCTCACCATGTCTGGCAGGGTCCTAGAGGAGGTCAGAGAGGCCAGGACCAAGGCTCACCAAGTTCTCACAGCATCTTCTGGGCTTTAGAATCACAGAAGGTTAACTCTTCAAGCCAGGGGAAGGTGCCGTGCCACCCTCTGCCCATTAGACCCCTGCCCCGCCACTCCAGCCAAGCCAAGCAGAGCTGTGCCGAGCCAGCCAGGGCCATGCACACAGCCGGTCTGAGCTTCCCACCCCAGGCCATGCATAGCAGTGGGTGCCCCCGCCCCCCAGCCTGAGCCATGCTGGGGGAATGTTCCCCTTTACCCCTGGGCCGCCTCCTGTTTCTCTGGGATGTTGGCAGAACTGAAAAGAACAAGACCATGGCAACCCCATGACTGGCGGGCTGGGGGTGACTCGGCCAGGCCCAACACTGGGAAGCCCCAGCCCCTTGGGGTGGGCTGAGCCATGGTAGCTCTGGGGTGGTCTCTGTAGGGCACCACCTCCAGGATCTTCCCGTCACTCCCAGCCCTCCCTGACGTCTCCCACACCACACTGCATACTACTCCCTCCGCGCCATCCATTCACTTGTTCACCTGCTCACTCATGGCCTCAGTCACCATCACTCACGTCCTCCCTCTCCTTCTGCAGAAGCGGCAGTTCAACCACTGTATTTACTGAGCACTGGGTGGAGCGGGAGGTGCAAGATGGCTCTGATGGGGTAAGGGGAGAGTGCCACGTGACTCAGGCTTCCATGAAACACAGAGGCAGAGTCCTCTGGGGTTGAGGTGAGTCAGGGTCAGAGAATGGGTAGACGGTCTCGCCAACCCTGGAAAGCCAGTACAGAGGCAGAAGAGGGGAGTCTCTGGGCCTGCCCAATTTGATCTACCCTGGAGGTGATTCTGCTGGGAGCCTGCAGCGGGGAGGGAGGGAAAGTGGTCCAGAGAGGCCTGAGGAGCATTTGAGGCCCCCATGGAAGGAAGGGGCAGTGTCCCCAGCACGAGTGCCCACCTGCATGCACACACCTACATGCACACACACACCAGCTCACATGCACAGGCACATTCACACAGACACGGGAGCCACACGGAGACACATGATGCAACTCCCTTGCCTTCCTCCGAGAAGGAGTCATGGACACAGACACTGGTCTCTCACCAGCACAGAGACACAAACACATGCGTACATACGTCTCTTTGGAGTGTCATGCAAAAGACAAGAGAGAAGAGAGTTCAGCAGGTTAGTAGTATCCGGTAGGGCGCCTAGGCTCAGATGTTCCTGCCTCCCTCTCCTCTTTTCCATACTTCCTTCTTCTGGGACCTTTCACAGCAGACCCTGGGGGGAGTCTGTCACCTGCAAGCTCAGACTAAGGCCAAGTGGCCTTCTCCCAGCTTCTTCCCAATTTCTTAATTTTTCAACAGGGGCAAAGGTGTGCTATTTCAGGAAGCTCAAGGGAATGATCTCCTCTGAAGGCCCAGGAGGGAGGGCGCTGGGTGGAAACGTGTCTGCCAGGAAGGCAGGGGAGGGAGGGTCTGACCCAGGCTCTGTCCGCTCAGGCGTTCTCTGTCCACTCAAGCGTTCTCTGTCCAAGCCGCTGACCTCAGAAATGAACATTCCTAGAGCCCACCCTGGGTTTCCCACATGTTCTTGGTGATGTCTGCCCACCTGCAGTTCAGACTTTCCTGCTCCTTTTAGCCTGGAACCCGGCCTGACAGCTCTGGCCATCAGGACAGCTGCCTCCTTGCGCTCCTCGCTCGTGTCCAGCCTGTGAGCCTGTTCTCCCAGAAAGTTCCTCAGGGCACAGGACGGTGCCACCCTCTGCTGCTGGGTCTGCCCTATCCTTACACAGGCCTGGCCTGAGCCCAGTGACCTTCATATCTGTGCCTTGTCTGGCCACCCGCTGGCTGTCCCCCACCTCTTCCACTGCAGGGTCCCCTGCTATGCGGGGCTGGAAGGCCTCAGAGGCCAGGGCCCTGGCTAGGACAGCAGGGCAGAAACAGTGAGAGAGAGAGAAAGTTCCCGAGTGAGCACACACTCAGAGGTCTGAATCTGAAAGAACTGAAGACAGTCTGTGTTTATGAGAGGAAGCAATTTCTGAGCATTTGGAAAGGAAAGGCCCTTAGATTTGCAGAAACACAGAACAAGAGGCCTCAAAGGCAAAGAGCCCCGTCTGAGACCACGGGACAGCACATGGGTCCAGAGAGAGGGTCAGAACAGAAGGTGTGCAGAGGGGTGGGTGAGGGCTGTGGCCTGAGGGCCGGGAGGGGGTGTGATGGGGGGTTAGTCCAGCAGTCGGACGGAGACAGGTACTATACCACACTCTTTCAGAGGCTCATCCGACCAGTCCCGGCAGTCCCTCTGAGCATCACACACTTTCCTGCCGTCCACGCACTCGCCACTCTTACACTGAAATCTGCGGGGACCCTCACATGTTGACTCTGTCGGGCCGGACAAGAGAGTGGACAGCACCTGTGAGACCTTAGGCAGGGAGGGTTGGGGTGGGCTGGGCCCATGGGAGGTGAGGAGAGCTCCAGACTCAGCCCCCACCGGCCTCCAGAGGGTGGCCCAGGATTGACAGCTGAATACAGGGCTGGTGGGAGCTCTGTTCACAGAAGGACAGGACCTCAGGGATAACCAGGATCATGGAGGTGGGCGGGGTGTGGGGGTCTACATCTGATCTACCAGCATTAGGGACCTTGGAGGGAAATGCAGCCCCTCTACAGAGACCCTGGGGGCTGCAGGGACTCCTGAGGGGGCCTATGCTCCAGGGGTCCTAGACTGGGGAGGTGACCTCACCGCCCAATCCTTGATCCATTTCTCCAGATGACCAGGGGTTCAGGGTCCCTACTCCTGTAGGGTGATGACAGAGAGCCACTTGAGAATTAAGGGGGCTCCCTGGGGAGCAGGACTCTGCCTCTGTCGGGTCCAGGAACCAGTTAGTAAAGCTGCTTGGAGGTGCAGATATAAACAAAGGGTGGAGGCTGGATCTCCTGCAGTGCCTTCACATCCCTTCCCCCAGGCCTCTTTCAGCTTTTGCAAAGTCCTTATGGCTCCAGTTCTGGTGCCACGAGGACCCGAGGGAGGGGGTCTGGGTGGTTTAGGGGCAAGTAATACTCTGGGGGAAGAGGCATCATAAGGACCAAGGGGTGATATCTCCCAACTCCGCTCTCTCCAGGGAGCCAGGGGAAAGCTCAGGGGGTGCTGTCCCCTTGCCGCTGACCACACTCACCCTGCAGGCAGCCAGTTTCGTCACTCCCGTCTGGACAGTCCTGCTCCTGGTTGCAGCGCTTGATGGCAGGCACACAAGTCCCATCCCCGCACCGGAACTCGTCTCCACGGCAGGTGCCCAGCGCTGCCAGGGGAAGGTGAGCGGAGAGGGTCAGCGCCCTCAGGTGCTGGGACAGCTCTCCTCCCCCACCTCCACCCCACATCCACCCCCGGGCAAGAACAGAACCAGTGGCTGAGCTTGGGAGTCTTCGGAGGACACCGGGCCAAGGCACAAGATAGGGAGACTGAAGCTCAGAGAGGGGGAAGGCCTCAGCCAGGGTCACACAGCGCTCTGGCACGCAAAGCCAGGACTAAAACTCAGGTCTCCTGTTTCCCTCTCTACCGTCTCTCCCCAGCGCCACCCCTCCGGAACAGTGCTTTGGAACCTCTCAGTTCTCATTACTTAATGAACTCATCCTTTCAGCAAACCCTTCCTCAGCGCCCAGGATGTAGGGATGGGGGACACAGATTACTAAGAGCCCCCCCCCCCACATCCTCTAACAGCTCAAGGGTGCAGAGCAGGGCTGAGGGGCAAAGGAGATCATTGTGTGGATGTGTTGCCAGACTAGGAGGCCAGGAACCTACAGGAGCTCAGGGGAACCCAGCCCAGCAGGGCCCATCAGAGGAACCTGGGAGAAGCCTTGAAGGATGAGCAGGCCCAGGAGGTAGGGAGGGCTGGGGTGGGGGCTCCTCTTTAGTGTACCAAGGTCTCCGGCACTGGGACCAGTGGGTGACTGCTTGGGCCCGGGAAGGCAGGGGTGGGAGTTATGACAGGGGCAGGGGTGCATCCCAGAGGGTCACAGGTACCTGTGAAGACCCTGAGATCCGCAGCTTAGCAGCCATGTGACCACACACACTTCACGTTTCCCCAGTTCTGTCGCCCCCGTTAAACCAAGACTAGGGTCGGAGTAGGGCGAGAAGAGGCGGCCCCCTCCGCGGACGCTGGCGCACCCGCGGCCCAGGGCGAGATGGGGGCGGGCGGGGGCTTACGGCAGTCGGCCTCGTCCGACTTGTCCTTGCAGTCGCGGTCACCGTCGCAGCGCCAGCTCAGGTGCACGCACTCGCCGCTGCGGCAGGCGAACTGGGCGGCGGCGGCGCAGGCGGCGGGCGCGGGCGTGGCCCGGGGCCCCGCGCGGCCGCACAGCTCGGCCGCCTCGTCCGAGCGGTCCTCGCAGTCGAACTGGCGGTCGCAGACCCAGCGCTCGGGGATGCAGGCGCCGCCGTCGCCGCCGCAGCGGAACTCGCGGGGCCCGCAGGCCGGGTCGGCGCAGCCGCGCTCGTCGCTGCCGTCGCCGCAGTCGTCGTCGCCGTCGCACACGAACACGGCGGCCAGGCACGAGCGGTTGCTGCACTGGAACTCGTGCGGGGCGCACACTGCGCGGGACAGAGAGCCGGTCGGCCCGCCGGACCCCATCCCCGGCGCCCCGGGCCCGCCGGTCCCGCTCCAGGGGCCCTGACCCTCACCCACCGGCCTGAATGAGCCCTGCTGGGGGCCCCAAATGTGGGCGGAAAAGGGGGCCTCCAATCCGGGTCCAGCTAGGGTCATGCTGGGCGACCCGGGGCATCAGGCTCGCCTCCCTAGCCTCACTGGGAGTGGGAATTCCTGTCCTGCTGCCTGCAGGATGGTGGGACTAAGAGCCTCTAAAGCTGCAGAGTGTAACCTGTCTTGAAGGCCTCTCCGGATGTTCCCAGGAAATGGTATGTAGCATGACATCGACCCTTCCAGGAACAAGGCCTGGACCTGCTGCTTCCTTACAGCACAGTTCAGGCCCCTCCCCACTCCCGGGTTTGCTTGCACTATCCCCTCTAAGTCCCTTGGCCTGGCATCCAAGGCCACTGGCATGGAGCTACGGCTGTACCCCATCACCTCACTCCGCTCACACCCTGCTTCACGTCAGACGCTAGGACCATTTGTACACTTTCCCACTTCCCCAGCTTTTGCCCAGGCTGTTCCTTCTGCTGGACGCCCATCTCTTGCCTACCACTGTCTCTCTTTACCACAGTGATGAGTTCGAATTCTTCAAGGGTCCAAATTCTAGCTCTTTCATAACACACTTCGTGTTCCTCTGCTTGGGAAGTTTCCACACAGCTCCACTCTCCTTTCAGGTGCCCTTCACAGCCGGCTCAGGTGCCTGGGTCTCGTGTCCTTCTCTGCCTGCCCCATGACAACGAACTGCACAGGGATGGGCTCTGAGATTGACCCACTTTTTCCCGAAGGTTCAGTACAGAGCTTCCTGCAGTGAGTGCATGTGGTGTGGATGGAGGCTGGACCAGCCAGGTGTGAGGAGGAATTTAGGGATTTGCAATCATTATGGGCACAGGTCACTGGCACTGCCTGGGGCCCTGGGCTTCCTCTCCCTGGTGGGTTGCTCTGAGCTCAGAGGCTGGGCGGAGAAGGCAATGGCACCCCACTCCGGTACTCTTGCCTGGAGAATCCCATGGATGGAGGAGCCTGGTAGGCTGCAGTCCATGGGGTCGCTAAGAGTCGGACACGACTGAGCGACTTCACTTTCACTTTTCACTTTTATGCATTGGAGAAGGGAATGGCAACCCACTCCAGTGTTCTTGCCTGGAGAATCCCAGGGGTGGCGGAGCCTGGTGGGCTGCCGTCTATGGGGTCGCACAGAGTCGGACACGACTGAAGTGACTTAACAGCAGCAGCAGAGGCTGGGAGAGCCTTAGAGACCACTAGCCCCACTGCCAGTTTACAGAGGAGGAAACTGAGGCCCAGGGAGAGGAGCAACATGCCCAGGGTCGCACAGTCAGTCCGCGGTGACGAGGGGTCCAGAACTCAGGTTTGGGGCTCTTACTTCCTCCTTAACTCCTCTGAGCTTTCCGGTTTTCTTCCCACCCTGGAGTTCAGGCTGTTTCTAGAGTAGCGACCTGACTTCCTCCCTCCATCATTCCTTATACAGAGGCCAAGAAGAGGCCTGGAGCCCCAGGTCAGGCATGGATACAGGGGCTGCGTGTACATGCATGCTAAGTCACTTCAGTCGTGTTTGACTCTGTGACCCAGTGGACTGTAGCCCACTGGGCTCCTGTGTCCATAGGATTCTCCAGGCAAGAATACTGGAGCGGGTTGCCATGCCCTCCTTCTGGGGATCTTCCCCATCCAGGGATTAAACTCTCATCTTTTATGTCTTCTGCATTGGCAGAAGCGCCACCACTAGCGCCACCTGGGAAGCCCGGTAACTTGGTGGTGGCAGCACCCTATCTTTCCACGTGGGGGCGCCAATAATCTGTGTTTTTATTTTCTGTTGGAAAACTGTCCCTTTTCATTGTTAGTGAACATAAAATAGAAGGATGCCTTCAGTTTCACAAGGTAGGCAGCTCATGTCATGTGTGGCTGACGGCTCTATCAAGTTTCTGACAGATGCATTTTTTCCCCTTCTGGGCTTCTGGGATGTTGGGGCCTTGGTAGGAAACGCACACCCTACTCTGTGATGTCTGCCCCTCAAGATTAAGCTGATGCCTAGATTAGCCCTCCTTCTCCCTGTCCAGACAGGGAGGGAGGACTCACTATGATCAGAGTTCTAGGAGGAAGAGCTGCTTTATCGTGAGCTTGCTCCAAGTTTTCGAAGCTGACAGCACCTTTAAGATCTACATCATCAGGCCTGTGTTCAGGGACCCCTCCCAGTATTCATGAATGGAAGAAGCTTTGAGGGATGAGAGAAGGGAGTATTCTTTTTCCTTTGCCTTGGTGATTGGGAGCTGAAGCAGAGAAGCCCAATAGGACCCTTGAACATGACTTATCTTCTATAATTACCAGGGAACAGCCCTGCCACAACATGCTGTAGTTAGAGCTATTCCCACTCCCAGAAATAGTGGCTGATAGCCTTGATGACTGCGGAAACATCTGATTTTCAGGAGGTATGGAGGGGAGAGGATTCTCACTGGCCAGTGAGGCCCCACAGAATTATTATCACAGCTGCAGAAATGAGGCAGTGTACCACTGGGGCTTTGCAACTGCTGGTCCCAGCCAGGATCTGCCCGCATGCCCAGATGCTTCCAGCTTCAGAGATATCCAAATTCCAGAGACTCACATTCTTAGAGTGCTGTGATCTAGAAGCCTCCAGAGGAAGTGGCACTTCCCATGAGCCAGGAAGGATGGGTAGGATACAAAGACAGAAGCTGGCAGAGTGAGCAGGGTGGGAGACAGTGGTGGGCACGTGCTTGGCAAAAGCCCTTGAGCAATCGCCCGGATCTCTGCCCAGCCTCACAGCCTAGTTCCAACAGCCAGTCTGTCTTCCTCATTCATCATGAGCTCCCGAAGAGAGGCCTGTAGGATTCACCTTCTTGTCCCTTCCAGAGCCTGGCACATAGTAGGTGCCCATTGTATATGAAACATGCCCGGCCAGGCCACCTTCCCCACTGGCCCAGGCTCTGCTGGCCTGCCCCCTGGGAAGGAGATAATCCTGTGTTTGAAGCCCACTGATGTGGAACTGCCCCAGTGACCACTTCCATCTGTCCCTGCAGAAGCCTGCTGAGAATGTCTTCCTGCCTCATGACACTGGTGCTCAGGTCTGAGATTTCAGCAACAGTCCTCAGGAATCTGTTCCCTTCCCCCCAACACTGCCAGTGTCCTCGCCCAGTCTGCAACCATCTCTCACTATGGCCCCCACTCTGGTCTCCTGCCCCTGCTCAGAGATCAGTATAGACTTATGGAATGGATGAGCAGATGTCAGGCATGGTTAGAACACGCGTGGACTTTGCTGTCCGGACCTGAAGTTGAATCACTCAGTTCTGTCACTTAGCCATGGGCATTTTTCCTCGCTTGTCTGAGCCTCAGTTTCCTCACCCACAAATGGGGATGATAATGGCTGCTTGTGAGGTGATTGTGAGGATGAAAAAGAATGTCTTTTCAAAGTGCCCGGCCATTACTAGTGTCCTGACCGTTCCACTTTCCTCTCCACCTCCCAAGCTCCCTGGAGAACCTGGCCCTCCTTCCCCACAAGTGACCACTGCTGCCCAAGGCTGCCTGACCGTGACCCTGGGGGACCAGACCCTGGACTCACACGTGGCACATCCAGCCTCATCCGCTCCGCTCTCGCAGTCCTTCTCCCCATCACAGCGCCACGAGGCCGGCACACACTTGTGGCTGGAGGGTCCGCAGCTCAGCTTCTCTGCAGGACACACCTGCTTGGCTGTGGAGAGAGACACATGTCCACAGCTCAGCCAAGGGGGACACAGGGCATGGTGCCAGTGAGTCCTACTGCCTGAATCCAGCCACATGGCCTGAAGCCCTGGGAATCCACCAGGGCCTTCCTGTCTCAGCTTCTTCGTCTCAGAAGAAGCTCCTCTGCCCCTAAGACTTTTTTATTCATTTATTCATTTTTGGCTGGGCTGACTCTTTGTTGCTGTGTGCGGGCTTTCTCTAGCCGTGGTGAGCGGGAGCTACTCTCTAGTTGTGGTGTGAGAGTTTCTCGTGGCCGTGGCTTTTCTTGCTGTGGAGCATGGGCTCTAGGGGTGCATGGGCTCCAGTGTTTGTGGCATGTGGGCTCCGTAGTTGTGGTTCTCAGGCTGTAGAGCATGGCTCCATAGTTGCAGCGCGTGGGTTTAGTTCTCTGCAGCAGGTGGAATCTTCCTGGACCAGGACTTGAGCCCATGTCCCCTGCATTGCAAGGTGGATTCTTAACCACAGCACCACCAGGAAAGTCCTACTGCTAAGACTTCCTGAATCCTACAGTTGGCCCTGTCACTGCCCTGCCTAACACCCTCTCATGGCCCCCTGGTCCCTGGCCGTCAGGACCCTCTTCAGTTGAGCCAGTCCCTCCACCTGCCTCACTGGCCTAACCTCCCACCCTTCCAAGCCTTCCCTTTAGGCTCCAGCAATATGGAGCCACCACGCCCTGCGCACTCCTCTGCCATTCCTAGCTGTGTGCCCTTGGGCAAGATACGCCCTGTTTGGGGTTCAGTTTGCCTTCCAGATCAGTGACTCTGTGATCCGAACCTGCAGACAGGAAGGGCTCACCACAGCCCCAACAGCTCCCTCCAAGCCTGCCTCCCCCTGTTAATGTGCCGAGCCCGCTGCTGAGAGCAGTCGCTGTGTGCCAGGGCCCAGCGGGACCACACAGCTATAATTACTGCAGCCGCAATCAGAGACTGACTCAATCAGAGGCCCGAAGCTCCAGGGCTGATTCTCAATTTGGAAGAAAAAATGAGAACCCTGATCCAGCCTGGGGATGGCTCTCATCCTGAGCATCCCAGGACGACCCACGTGACAGACCCAGCCGAGGCAGAGACATCTCAGACCTCCGTGGCTGGCTTCCTCACCCTGTCTTCCAGGGTGTACACGGGCCGAACTCAGTGATCTCTAGTATGTGCCAGGAGCAGTGCTAGATGCTTCCATTGTATCTTCATAGTAATCCAGTAAGGTACAGGTTCTCTTGGGGCCTCCAGCATGAAGGTCGAGGGCATGGGCTCTGGAGCTATGCTGCCTGGGTTCAGCTCAGTCACTTGTTGGCTGTCTACCTTGGCCATCGATCCTTATCTCTGTGCCCATAAAGTGGGGATAATACTATTCCCAGTCCCACTAGACTGCTACGACAACTATGTTAATGTCTGTAAAGCATTTAGAATGCCCAGCCAGTGCTCACTCATGATACCTACTATTATTCTCTGCACATAGCAGCTGAGGACTTATCTATTCCCTCAGTGAGTATCCTGCTGTGTACCACACATGGCACCCAGCGCTGGGTCCTATTCACACAGTCATGAAGACCCAGGTGAGGGTGCAGTCAGCTGTGTCTCATGCCAGAGGCTGAGAACAGTCCACGGCACCCTGGAGGCAGTGGGTTACTGGTATTTTACCCTCAGTTCTTCTCTCTAATCTCAAACCAGTTTCCCTAATCTCTTACTTCCATAGCTGGGATGAAAGCTCACGAGAGATGGAGAGGACACACACAAGATGAGTTGGGGGCAAGTGTCTGAGCCAAGACCCCCAGATACTACTACACCATGGGAAAGGAGTGTCTTGGACCCCGCAACTGTGGACCCCAAAGTTATCCCTAGGAATACATTCCATAAATATAAGGCAACCTATTGGGAATACAGGATTCAAGGGATTCATTTTACAGAAATTTCCCTTTACAAATACTGTCGGGCAGAGCCCTGGAAGCACTGACACTCAAAGACCCTTTATACAGGCTTCCTTGGGGAGGTGGTACAGGTGGTGAGGGGCCTGGGAGTCAGGGGAGGGGCCCAGAGCACCTCCATCACCCACACACTGCAGGAACTGAGAAAGTACTTCCCACTCTGGGCCCAGCAGCACACGAGGGGACTGCAGCAACCAGCATGTCCCAGATAAGGGGTGGGTTGGTGGGTGGTGGCTGCAGGTTCTTGGGCCTCAGCTCACACTAGACTGAATCCAGGTTTCCAGGGCAGAGCCCAGGCTTCTTAGCAACTCCACCTATCCCTGCTTGCCCTGGTGATTCTCAGGTACCCCATTTGAGAACCCCTGGGTTACCATTCTCTAAATCCAAAAGATATCGGGAGATTTCATGTCTTTTAAATCCACTTCCAGAAAAGTGATAGAGCAGATGCTGTATGTCTGCAAGCCCCTGACACAGAGGGGACAGAGGGACGAGGCAGCATCTGTGAGCCAGGCCTCAGGAAACAGATGCTCACGGGGAGTTGTTAGGGAGCCATGTTACTGAGCACATACTGTGGGTCAGGCTGCTTCATGCTGAGGAGTTGATATTTTCCCGTGTCATCCTGACCCTCTCCCTGCCACATAAGCAGGCACTGCAGGCTGTGAGTGGAAACTCCAGGGGCACCATTCACAAAGATCATCATGTTAATGGCACCCCTAGAACAGAACAGGACACTGGTCCTGCAGGTAAACACTCCATTTTACAGAGAAGGAAACCAAAGCTCAGAGAGACCCAGACCAAAGCTCAGAGTAACTGGCCCCAAACACACAGCAGTGAGAGTCAGAGTCTAGATTCCTTTGACTAAACCCTGCCCTTTCCATCAAACCCCTCACCCTCCTGTGGGTAGGGTAGTGGCCCAGTTGTTCAGTTGCTCAGTCGTGTCCAACTCTTTATGACAACACGGACTGCAGCATGCCAGGCTTCCCTGTTCTTCACCATCTCCTGGAGTTTGTTCAAACTTATGTCCATTAAGTTGGTGATGCCATCCAACCATCTCATCCTCTGTCGTCCCCTTCTCCTCCCGCCTTCGATCTTTCCCAGCATCAGGGTCTTTTCCGATGAGTCAGCTCTTCACGTCAGGTGGCCAAAGTATTGAAGCTTCAGCTTCAGCATCAGCCCTTGCAATGAATATTCAGGGTTGATTTCCCTTAGGATTGACTGGTTTGATCTCCTTGCAGTCCAATGGACTCTCAAGAGACTTCTCCAGCACCACAGGTCAAAGCATCAATTCTTCAGCATTCAGCCTTTTTTATGGTTCAACTCTCACATCCAGACATGACATAGTGGCCCAGAACCAACCCCAAACTCTCCGCTCAAAAGTCCAGGTGATTGAAACGGCCCTTGACCCATCTGTACCATCTCCAGGGGCCTGGTTCAGCATACCCCAGTGCAGCAGGCAGCTGCTTGAACTTTGAATGAATATTTATACAGTTAATTGCATAACCTTTCAGCAAGGACAATGATTAAACAATCCGTCTGCTTCCTTTCTTTATTATTAATAAGACATTTGCTGTGTCCCTAAATAGACAGCTCTAATTACAGGCTCTCGAGGATTCAGCAGTGCCTGACACCAGCCCTCCTACCCTCAAAGAGCCAAGGAACCTTCTTGGAATGTGGGGGACACAAGAGGCCTTGGAGGTCACACTGAGGAGCACTGGCTGGAGTGACAGGAGACGGAGGTCCAGAGAGGGGAAGTGACCTGCCCGGGGTACTGGACACTGGGCATTACAACTGCTGCCTCTCCCGGAACCTCGCTGTCTCTGCTGTGATGCAGCTGTTTCCCAAAGCGGGACATGGACCTCACCCTCTGGGCTCCAGGGTCAGACCTCTCACTGCTCAGCCCCGGAAGCTGGTCTGGGGAGTGTTGACGTGCAGCATCTCCTCAAGTGTGTGTGCTCAGTCGTGTCCAACTCTTTGAGACCCCATGGACTGTAACCCACCAGGCTCCTCTGTCCATGAGATTCTCCAGGCAAGAATACCAGACTGGAGAGCCATCTCCTTCTCCAGGGGAATCTTCCTGACCCAGGGATCTGTGTCACTTATGTCTCCTGCATTGCCAGGCAGGTTCATTACCACTGCACTATCTCCTCATGAAGTGAAGGCTATTATTACCTTCATTTTACAGATGGGGAGAGCGTAAGTTGTTTGCTCAAAGTCTTGTGAAGAGCAGAGCTGCAAAATCTTCCCCAGGTCCCTCAACCCCAAAACTCTGTTAACTTATGGCACTTCATACTGCATAGGGGGGGGCAGTAGGATCCGATGGTCTCCTGGTGACCCTGGAGAGGGTTACTGGAGGGAGGAGGCTCACTGGGCATTGGCTTAGGCAAGTCTGCAAGATGGGAGGTGGCTGTCTAACAACCACTTTCAGGATAACTGAAGCTAGAGGCCCCAGGCAGCATAGCACTGGAGATAGAGCATGGGTTTGGAGTCCACATCAAATTTACTAACATGAAGGTCCTTCAACAAGTCACTTAACCTCTCTGCACCCTGGCTCCCCTCACCTGCACATGGGGTTACATTATCTCCCAGAGCTGGTGGGTGGTTTATATGAGGAAACATGGAAATGCCTATACAGAACCCGGAGCAAATCTGGAACTCAGCAAACAGTTGCCCTTGTTTTATTTCATGAAATGCAAAGGGCTGGGAGGGCCCAGGTCTCACCCCTGCGGATGGACATCATAGCTTATTCGAGTCCAGAGGGCTCTCCACGATGCAGCACCCACCACTGAACTGAACACTTCTCCCTCTCTCTCCATCTCTTTCCCTCTCCTGCTCTCTCTCTCTCAGAAACAGATGCCCCAGGGAATGCCTCTGGCTTGCTGTCCAAGTATCTCCAGGTTCTCAGGGGCAGGAATGAGAAGCCCCACTTCCTCAGACATCAGGAATCCTTCAAGTCACCAAAGGCCTGCCACTGTACTCCAGAGTGGCCACAGGCATTTATAAATTCCCAGAGAATCTTGTCTTAGAAATCCAAATCCAACCGTCCTTTCTCTAATTCAGAAGCTTACAAATTAATAAAGAAGGAAATGTCTGTTGACTGAAGGAAGGAAAGTGCCTGACAGCTTCTTACTGAGCAAGCACATCAGCAGTGCAGGTCATGGGAGGCGCAGGGCCAACAGCCTCCACTTGGGGACTGCCAGCTCCCAGGGGCCAGGGGCTCAGGCAGTGGTGACTATGGGGTCTAGCTGCTGCCCCAGGAAGCATGGCATGGACGTCCCATTGCACAGAAGGGGGCAGTCACACCAAACTCCTTCTCACGGGGTCAGCAGGGTGGGCCCCTGACTTGCTGGATGAGCTCAGAAAATCTCTGATAGGAAGGTGCACTTGGTTAATCAGTGTGGTCCCCCTTCCAGATGGGAAGGCTCTAACATGCATGAATAAAAGCTCATTTTCAATAAGCAGCACCCAGAATTGTAACTCACTCACCTTGAACCAGCTTCCCCACCCCCATGCCGCACACCTCCCAACAGATGCCTGAAGGTGGGTCACAAACATCCCCAATCAAGGGAGCTATAATTAGAGCTGAAATGCTACTTTCATTAGGCAAATGTCCGGGCATTCCTGCTGTGACTCCTGGCTTAATGTGACAGCCACAGAATCCAGAACCAGAAGGAAAGAGATCTGGGAGGAACCCCAGCCAGCGAGATGCAGATTATATAGAGGGGAACACAGGAATGGGAACCTGCTCCCAAATCCCTCCCTACTCCACACAAAGCGTCTTCACTTAGACTTCTAAGATTTTAAATTGGGGAGAGGGCCTAACGTCAAAACATAATGATAAAAATCACACTGCCATTTACTCCATCATCGACACTGTGAGTGCATTTTTTTTCACTTGGTCCTCACCACCCCTTTAAGATAGGTACCATTCCCCTATTTTGCAGATGAATGAATTAAGGCTCAGGGAGATTGGCAAATTGCCTGCGGTCTCACAGGTTAAAGGACTTGAACCCGAGTATACCAGACATCAAACCCACTACACTTGACTACTGCCTATAATCTTTCTTTGCAGGTGGGGAGGGGGCTCTATCCTGGAAGCTGGCACAGTCCCCAGGAACCTGGTAGGCTGTGGAGGTTGCTATGACAATGCCAATCAAATGGGCAGTGAATTGGCTGCTGGGTTCTCACTTGGTCAGGAGGCTGTGAGCAAGCCTGTTACCAGGTCCTGCTGCCCCCAATTCTGCCTGGCCCTCAAGGTCCTACACTGGCTGACCTCCTCCAGGCAGCCCTCCCCACACACAGGCCTTGCCCACCTGTGACAAATGTAACTGCACAGAAAGTGGGATCCTGGCCTTGTGCCCAACTGGGTACAGGCAAGGCAGAAAAGGGCCTCAGACTCTTATGAGTCCAGGAGTCTTAGAATCATGGTCTCTGGAATTCTGGAATGTTAGAGACTAGAACTCAGAGGGGGCGGGAAAGTATGCAGGACTCACACTGCATCATGGGAGAGCCCCCTGACTCCCAGGATGCAGAAAAGAGAGCTGGGCTGTGACTCCCCTGGCGGCAGCTCCCACACAGAGCTCTGTCAAGCCCCAGAGAGACTTCAGAGCCTGCCTTTTGTCAGGGAAGGCAGACCAGCCACGAGCAACCTGTGTGTCTTAGAAGCAGGGCCCTCAGCATCCCTAGGCTTCCAGTTACTCAACTGCCCGATAACTGTGCTTTACAGCTGAGCCCAAAGCAGGCCTGGGGAGGCAGGAGGTGTGAGGCCGGAGACCCCCCCCGCCCCCCCCCCCAACCCTAGCCCAGCACAGCCCAGAAGATGGGAAGGCTTGAGCAAGTGCTGAGAGGGGCAAGAGGCGGGAAGACAGAGAGAAACACAGTCAGGATGAAGAAAGAGGGCAAAGGGGAAGGGGAGGAGGGGACAGGCAGAGAAGGGAGGCAGCCCAAGTGCAGGGCTGGGCAGGAGGGAGATGGAAAGGAGCACCACTGCAAAGAGACAGAGATGTGGGGAGGAGCGGGAGCATAGTTCTTAGGCAGCAGGACAGACCCCAGTAATGATTGTGATGACGCTCCCCTCCCCTCCATCTCCAGTGTCCAGGGTAACTGCAGGCATGGGGTCTGCATGGCCGAGCTGGCTGACTGCCAAGGCGGTCACAGCCCCCCTCCACAAACACACACTCCGGGCTGTACACGGCTCTGCCCTATGTTAGCTGGGCCGCCTTGGGCAAGTGGCCGAACCTGTCCCAGCCTCAGTTTCTTTCTCTCTAAACAGATCCACCCCTCGCCCAAGCTGGCCCTGAGGAGGAGTCACAAGTGGGCGTGGCTGGGCTTTGTTCTCCGGAAGCTCAGGACAAAGCGCTGGGCGGCCCTCCCCCATCGTCCAGCACCTCCAGGACTGCATGGGGTGCAGGGGCTGCTGGTGGCTGTGTAGGCTGTAGGCTGTGGTGTGGTGTGGCTGGGAAGGCGAGGCAGCTGTGCAAGGAAACGAGGAAGTCCCTTGTCTTAGGCGGGGGTGGCTCCTGCTCTCCCTTTCTCTCTCCCGTTCCCTGTTTCTCATGCGGAGACTGGGAGCTCTGTTGCTAGGAGACAAGGAAACCCAGTTATCACCAGCCACAGCCCTAGATAGGACCCTGGCCTCCATTGTCCCCACCTCTGCCTCTGGGGTGACTGTGACCCCTAAGGAAGATCCGGGGACTGCGACTAGCAGGCCCCCACCAGCCCTACCGTCGTCCACGTGCTGCCCCTCTCCTGGCCTTTTGTCTCAGGCTCATTCTGCTGAAGCTCTGCCTCTGGGACTACTGGGTCCTTCCCCGCCCCCTTCTCATCTCCTTTTTAATTTAACAAATGTCACGGAATGACCTGCCCAGTGTACGTTTGCTTTGAGGATTAGGGCCTGGAAAAGAAATCACAGGGAGACAAAGGCTGAGTGCGGGAGGCGGGCCTGGGGCTTGGCGTTGGCCTTCATCTTGCCCCTGTTGCCTGTTGCCATCTGGTCCAGGCTCCTAGGCTCAGTCTGCACAGGCTGAGGACAGAGCTAGGGCCTTGAAGACCCCAGCTGGGTGGCCTTGGGCAAGTCACTCAATCTCTCTGAGCCTCAACTTCTACCTCTGCAAAAGTCAAAATGTGACAGTACTTATCTCATGAGGCCACTATGGGAATAGGATGAATGAAAGCACAGATAGCATTTTGCATATAGTGAATGCTAGATGAGTACCAACTGCCATTAGTATTATTAGAATTATAATTAGAATCCTCAAAAAAAAAACTAGCGAGGGAGACTAAGGGGAGGCCTGGAGCATGTGTGCTGGCTACTTCTCACCATCAGGGTTCAAAGGGGCTGCTTTTAGCTCCTGGAACTCTCGGAGCAGGGCCCAACCTGCCAGAGGGCTGGGAAGAAAGCCCAGACACAGGTCACCAGACACCAGCAGCTAGAAGCACCGGAGCTCATGAGTGCTCAGTGCAAAGTACGTACGGGGCTGTGGGAGACAGATCACCTCACCTGAGCCTCCAGCTTCCCCACCAGGAAGACCTAACAAGGAAACTGAGGCCCAGAGCCAGGCCCCACCCCCAGCCCAGGGGCAGGACTCACTGCACGTGGCCTCCGACTCGTCGGAGCCGTCTGAACAGTCCTCCTCGCCATCACACTTCCACCGCTCTCGGATGCAGTGGCCGTCATTACAGGTGAAGTCGCTGTCTGCACAGGTCTTCTTGGCTGCGGGGCAAGGAGAAGAGCATGAGGGGCCTGGTAGGCACAGGAAGCTTTTCCAGAACATACAGTCAGGTGGCTGCAGGGCAACCAGAATGTCCTCCGTCCACAAGCTGGACCATGTGACCTCCCACGGCTCCAGGAGACTTATTCATTCCACACCAGGAGGAGACAGGCAGTCCCTGGCCCTGCTCTCCAGGTTCAACAAGGGTGACAGCATCCAACCACCAAGGGAATGCCTCTTCCCATCACACCTGTCTCTTCCCCCCAAGTCCGGTTCCACTGTCACAGCCTCTAGGAGGCCTTCCCTGATCACATACAGTAGTTGCCTTAGCCCCTTCAGCCAGTTTGCAGTTCTTTTACCTGCCTCTCCTCCTCCCCCTGGCCAGACTAAAGTCAAGGCCTCTTCTGCAAGCACCAGGGAGCTTATTATTTATGATAATAAATCACAAAAGTAAATGATCACCTCGTGGCAAGATTAATGAGGTGCGTTTTGTTCAGAGTGAGGGAAAGAGACTCTAGACGTCTAAATCAGTCTCCGTCCTGAAGGCCTTTACAGCCGGGAGGGGAGGCCTCCACACTGCGGGCTGGAATCCCAGCTCTGCTTCTTTCTATCTGTGTGACCTTGGGGATGTTACTGGACCTCTGAGCCTCTGTTTTCTTATCTATATAATGGGGAGAAAGAAACAAAGGGCTCCAAGAAGAAGTAGCAAGAAGTTATAATGTATGAAGAGCAGGCAACAGAGACCCTGTACACAGCAGATGCTCGGTAAGCAGCAGCTATTGCTGTTTTTATGGTTCAAGTCTTAATTAGAAGCAAAGGAAGTGCGGTGTTCTACGCCCTCACGGGGGATATATATAACAGGCTGGGCTCTCACAGCTGGGAGCAGAACTGAGACCAACTCAGGGACCAACATGGTTTGCTTTTCTTCCTGTTCCTCCACTGGCCCGATGCTCCTCCAGTGTGGATATTACATTAGATTCGACACAGGACCCAACTCAGGGTAGATTTCAGTGGAGGCCATTAAACCCAAGGGAAGCATAGCCGCTGCTCCCACACCTCCAGCCAGGCCAGGCTCCAGTTCTTCCCAAGAAGCACCTTCCCAGTGACCAGCCTTGGGTTATATAAATCCTCCCACAGGCCCTCTGGCCTCCTCTGAAGCCACGTGACTGCTCCCTCTCCCTGAGCAGCCCGACAAGGATTTGAGGACACTAGGGCTCCTGAATCCATTCCATTTCTGCCTTCCTTTTCAATGAAATCTTTGCAGTGCATCTGCATTCTAGGCTGAGCTTTCACACTTTCCTTAGAAGAACATCTCTGCCTTTGCAGGGTGGGAAGAAACAAGAGGAATCAGAGTCTACCTACAGATGGGGGCCTGAGGCCTAGAGACAGAAAAGGGCTGGCCCAGGGAAACACAACACCACGATCAGAACCAGCTCACTTGCCTCCCAGTCCAGGACCCTGAAAAGCCCTCCCTGAGCCCTGCACTGAGGGGTTGACGCGGGTAACAGATACCAGTGTTGTTGATCAGTCACTAAGTCGTGTCTGGCTCTTTGTGACCTGTGAACTGCAGCACAGCGAGCTTCCCTGTCCTCCCCTTTCTCCCAGAATTTGCTCAGACATATCCATTGAGTCACCGCCTTTTGGCAAATCACAGCCTATGACACACCAGAGTAAGTAGTTATGAGCCATGGCACCTGAACATTTCCAGAGTGCTCCCTTCACAGGAAGCTCTGCATCCAAAAAAGAGACATCTATTCCCGTGCTTTCTTTTTCCTATTCTAACATTCTCCAAGTGCATCCTGTGTGCCAGGCTCTGTGCTTAACACTTTACCAGGAAACCCCACGACTAAAGGCCTGCTGTGGCCCTCACTTGACACGTGGGGAAATTCAGTCCAGGGTGTTAAGTTACACACCCGAAGTCACAGCTCGGGTGGGTAGCAGAGGCCACAATTGGACCTCACTGTCAGACAACCTTCTTCCACACCAGGGCTCTCCAAACAAAATACCCAGTGGCATCAGATATGGAACAAAAGCCCTGGAGTAGATGGGAAAGACCATGGAAGCTCCAACTCGGTGCTCGGTGAGCGTGTATCTGTGCCCTGAGCACACGGATTGGGAATCGGCCTGGCCTGTGAGTGCAAGTGCACAACCAGCAAACCCAAGGAGAAGGGGCCAGGCTGACCGAGAAGGTGATGGAGGGGCTCCATCGCTGGGCCTGGGCCAGCCAGATGCTCACCAAGGTCCCTCTCCTCCCTGGCATTCTGAGAGTGAGCTTGGCCTCCCACAGTGTGTGAAGTCCTGGCGGGCCCCAAGCAAGGAGACCAGAGCAGCCACAGGAACCATCACAGTCCTGAGGGCAGGAAATGGCAGACTCAGGGTGCATGTCCTATAGCGGTGTTTTAGGGAACAGATTCATTCACTGTCATGACCAGTTTGAACATTTTCCACCCTGGCTCTGCTCTGGCACCTTTCACTCAATATCCCAATGATGACTTACAGCTATCCTGACAGCTGTTGTTAATTCCATTTTACAGAAGAGGAAATTGAGGCTCAAAGAGGTAAATGGGGTAGGTGGCAGAAGTGGGATTTCAATTTCACTTGTGGCAGCTGCCAAAGCTTGGGCTCTTTGTGCTAAGTCCCTTAGCCACCATGGTATTATCAGGCTAAGAATGAGGACCCCAGAGAGGCAAATGCAGTGGGACTAGATCCCATGGGTTGCAGGACAAGGCAATGTGGAAGATCAATCATAGACCAGAGGCGCCTACATTGAAGAGCTCCCCTGGCACGTGCCCAGAAATGTGCAGTACAGTAAACCTGGGCCTCAATGACTTGTGCTTGGCTAAGGGACCACCCTGGGGAAACTGAGGCAGCATAATCAATGCAGGCGACTAGACTAAACTACCTGGGCGGGCCCTGTCTGAAGTGTAACCATGTGGAAGGATTTGGAAGCAGAGCTGTCTAAATCCTGGCATGGCCACCTCCTCTCTGGGTGACGCTGGGCAAGCTCCTTCCCTCTCTGGGCAAGTGGCAAGGGTGGCTCCCCCGGGAAGCACTGCCACAAGGGCAGCAAGCATCCCAGTGTCGGGCGGATCAGTGTAGAGAGGCTACATCAGCCCTGCCAAGAGAGGAGGGCTCGGCAGTCTTGTGAGGCTGTCAGAGCAAGCCCGGCCAGCCCCAACTCTCCTGGCCTTGGCAGCCTTGGCTCCAGCTCCCAGGGTGATTCCCAAGCTGGGCTCGGGGCTGTGGTTCTCTATTTCCAGGGATTTATGTCCCTCCATGCCAGTCGCCCCTTGGACAATGCCCACCTCTGTGAATCTCTGTACTCCAACGGCCCAGGAATGGTACACAGTCATCCAGGGTCTGCGACATCATAATCTGGTGCCATGGCAACAGATGGCCTGCCACAAAGGACTCGGGATTCCAAAGGGCAGTGGGGAGGGGCCAACCCCAGGGCAGAGTGGGAGAGAATGGGAAATCCGGGACAAAGGAAGTGAGAGCCGCTATTTATAACAAGAATGCAGACCAAGGAAAGAGTCAGGCTGCTCACGGTTGATACTCTGTTCTGCCACTTGTGGGCTGTGTGACCTTTTGCAAGTTACACAGCTTCTCTGAGTCTCACTTTTTCCGTCCACATTCAGGGGTCATATCCCTGCTTTACCACGCAGGGTTGCTGTGAGAAGCAGTCGAGCTATATTAGATGGTGTCTGGACTTCATGAAAAGAAGAAAGGTGCGAGTCTGCGATGTGTGAAGTCAGCAGCCTCAGCTGCTGTGTGTGTGACACCGGCTCATCCACCTCCTCATCTGGTATGGAGGTGTGGTGCTGACTGCATCTTCAGCCCTTCTCTGTGCCCAGAGCCTATGATCTTGTGAAATTGTTATGATCACTCAGCACCTCCCAGCTCCTCCGCCCCTTCCCCGAGACAATGTGCATCCTTCATGCTGTTATTCCCCACCCACACTCATCCCGCAGCCCCAGTGCAGACAGGGGGCTTCAAAACAAAGATTAGTCAGTGTGCTGGGCAGAGCTGCTCGGCGTGGCTTCATCTTGGCAATCACAGTGCTACCTCCTGTCAGAGCCCAGGGCCTTGAAGTCCCCTCTGCAGCTCTCCCATTCTAGAAGCAAAAGCCAAGCCCACGGTGAGGCGGCAGATCAAAGGCACAGCACATGTGCACCTGAGCCCAGGTATTCTGTCTCCTGGGAACACTGTGTGGCCAGGAAGTCAGGGGAGGGCTACCCAACCATCCCAGGGGTCAGGGAAGGCTTCCTGGAGGAGGGGACCATGTTCAAGGAAGACAGGTCAGCCAAGCTGTGGGAGTAAGGAGAGAGGAGAAGGGCATTCAAGGAGAGGGATAACGGCATGGGGTGTGGAGGAGCCAGCGGAGTGGCCGTTCGGGGTTCATTGAACACTTGAGGAGGCAAGTGGCAAGGGGCCTGGCAGCTCTACTAGGCCACGGGCCAACTCACCCTGCCTGGCACCAGCCTGCCCCTCAGAGGCCCTGTGCAGGGGCCTGGCTTTCCCTGAGCTTATCCAGGGACTCCCCCCCACCCCTGCTAATCACAGGACAGCCAACAAAACCCACAGCACCAAGCTACCAGGGTCTCCTTCAGGACTTGGGGGTGGGGGTGGGTACATGGACCATCAGGCCCTCGCAGGGGAGGAGAGAGGAGGGACCCCGACAGACAGCTGGGGGACCATCCATTCAGATGCTTGGCATAAGCTTTATTCTTTTCCCTTTGGGAGATTCTTGATGCCCACTGGCTCACCAAGGGCCTTGAGAGGCCTACAGGAAAGATATCAGATTGATTTTGTTTCCTGCAGTACTTCCCACATTTGTTAAGCCAAAGACCATCTTTGTTGGATGCCATGTCTACTAATTTCCCAAGAAAAACCAGTGCAGTGAGCCACACTTGATGAAACACTGCTGTAGCATGAGCCCTGCATCCTACAGATCAGATGAGGTCCAGAGGGGGAAGGACTGGCCTGTGTGACTGGTCACACA